ATGGGACACTGCCTGTGTGCTCTGACAGGGATGGGACCTTTTTGCTGCCTTTGTGTGAGGTGTGAGGCTGTGGGGTGTCAGGTCCTTTAAGCTGGGTGAGGGACATGGTGACCAATAAATACAGCATGAAACCAGAAAGGCTGAGGACGTAGCTCAGACCAGCTGTGCCTTCTGTTGTTACTAGGTAGTGTGGTTAAAGGGAGAGGGACACCTTTGGTGTAAATGCAATACTATTCTCAAAAGTACTAATTTAGTTTTTTACCAAAATCAGAATGGTGTTGCTTCTCCTTCTTCTCTTTCTCCACCCCTCTACATACAACAATTTAATTTATCCTTATCACAACAAGTCCAGCTGACAAGGAACAACTGGATTATTTGCAATAACTTTAAACTAGAGATTTGTTCACTGCTGCCCCTAGAGGCCTAAAATGCTGTTTCTCTGCCTTTTAAAATCCTATTAGTCTTACCTTCTCCATAATTATGAGGATGATAATATTTCTTTTCCTCTCATTAATTCACAGGCTCTCTGGATTTATTGGTTAATTTCCAGACCAGTAATTTCTTCTGTAAAAACAAATCCTGCTACTTCTAGTTTAAATGATTATAGCAGACAGGGTTTTGAGCTATATAAATAAAGTCAAATATTACTAAAGCTTTGCTTTCACATTAAATTTTAAGGGTGAAAAGAAGTATCAGGACTAATTGAGGTCATGATTTTGCATTTGCAGACTGAAATAAGTGTTCGTCTAATGGATATTGTGATGCTTTTAATGTAGTAACACTATAACTAAATAAATAATGTAATTTTCTTTTTGTTGGTCTGTTATTAGGATCCATACTATAGATTTAATGATGTGATGTACAGATGGATCTCACTTGATAACTGGACTTACAGCAGGACGTTCAAAACTCCTTTTGACATCAGGTATGCAGTAAAAATATGTCTAAAATAGTTCTTTGCCATCTTTCATGCAGAATTGCAAGTTAATCCATCCACTCAACATCTGCTTAATACTTTTGTATCTGATAAATTATGCAATCATGTGCAGCTGCAAAGCTGTTGCTACAGAACATTTCAATTGTTGCTTTTTTCTTTTTCTTAAATTGATTGTTAAAAATTACTTATGAATTGTCAGCTGAAAAAAAGATAGTGCTTAGGCTAATTGAAAGTTATCCCATCTAATATCTAGTGGGTGTGTGAGCCTGATGTGGAACCTGATGTGTTCTTGAGCATGCTGACTTGAGCTACTTCAGCTGTCATCTTAGTTTGACTATTTAAAGGTACAGTGTAGCTGCACTGAGTCAAAAGTACCTGAAGCAACTGCTGGTATAATAGAGATACACATTTTTACGTTGTCTGTGCCCTGTGTGTTTTTAACTCTAGGTACTCTGACAGTTTTTCACATGTATGTTTTCTTTTGTAGAAAGTGGCAGAAAGTGAATTTGGTTTTTGAGGGAGTAGATACAGTAGCACAGATCGTGCTCAACAATGTCACTCTTGGGAGAACAGACAACATGTTCACCAGATACGTAAGTAATGTGTTTGTTTCTGTTTATTTCTGCTTCTCTGCTTTCTTCAAAGCCCTTTTGTTCTGAGCACTTCCAGTGCATTCACCTACCCATAAAAGTAGGTGCTTGGATGCAGAAAGTGTTGACTTGAGGACTGTATGTGGAATCAGGTAAATGTTAGGAAGGGAAGTGTACTTACCTTTTCATCAGCAACTGGGTCATATCTAGAGGTGAATGTGCCTTGTCCTAAATGAGAGGACCAATGCGAGAGGATCAATTCAGCTAATAATATAATATGTCCTGCTTCTTGGGATCTGTCCCAGCTTCAAGAAAACATAATCTTAAATCTGTTTTATTAGCTGTAAACCTGCTTACTAATTGGTATTAGAATGGTTTACATGTCAATACTGCAATGAAAATGCATGTGCTGTAAAGCCTGTGTATATGTTTCATGCTTTTGGCTTTTAAAGAGGGTGGTTTATTTTGAATATGGTACTTTGGGTAACACTGTCTTGCGTTTTTGAGCTTTGCTTATGTCAGCATGAGAGTATTCATTATGGAATGATCTTGAGAGTGGCAAGCTAATTTTATAGCTTTCAAGCTAATTTTATAGCTTTCAAGCTAATTTTATAGCTTTAAAATACAAAATTATTCTGGTAATAACAAAAGGAACAATTTTGCTTTTATCTTAATCAAAAATCTGAAGAGTTAAAGGGAGATTGATAGTGGAATAACTGAATTACAAATGAAATCTGGTGTCTCCATATCTCAGCATTTACCATTCTGGCAGGTCTTATTGCAGAAGCACTGGACTGAGACATAAGACATTCTGCCACCTGGGTCTATGTAACCTAGGACAAACCACTTAGTTTCTCTTTGACTTACTTTACCATCAGTGAAATCAAAAATTTCATGGAGTTTTTATGAAATTGTAATTATTTACTGCTTGGAGAGTATCTAAAGGCTTGTCAGTAGCAGGCTCTGAAAGTCAGAAAAGTGGTATTATTTTGTCCATATTTCTGCAACTTCATTTTGTATCAGATTGTAACAATTCATGGAATGGCCTTCACTGTAAAGCCAGCATATACTGCATTAAATTGAGTCCGGGGTTACTGTGACCCAGGCTTGTGCCTTGTTCACCTGTTCCACATGGCAACATCATCTGCAGGAAGGACTCTCTGAAGGCTCTGGACTGGGGAATGCTATTTGCTTTCTAATGTCCTGCTGTATGCTACAGGAATAAGTGATTCTAGCTGGGTTGCTCCCAAATTAAAGGAAAATAGCCGAGACTTGGCTTTTCACAAATGTGCACTCTGAGGAATAAATGGGTATTAGCCATTGGAACCACACTGTCGTGATAGCAGAGGATAATTCTGAAATGGAACATTTCTTCTGTTCTCCAGCCACACTGAAGGGGATTTTGTGACTTGGTGAGAAAGCCCCCAGATGCTTCATTTGGTGCTGATGTAGAATGTGTGCCTTACGTTTGGGGGATTAGAATACAAGTCATTCCATTTTGGGGAATGAGCTACAGCTTTGCAGCATTCATGGACCAGGCAGGTCAGTGCCTTGTGGTGGTTGAGCTGGCAGCACAGTGTGAGCTGGAAGCACTCCTGTATGGAGCAGCTCTCTGAGTTGGAATAAGGTGTCTTTCCAAAGATGCAGATGGGTTCTGGATGAGGAATGAGGGTAAAGATTCTCTTGCTGTCCTTGTCCTTCAAGTACTTCCCTATGCAAGCAAAGTGCTGCAGCTTGCCATGAGAGCTTGATGTGAAGAAAGCGGTTTGCCCAGAAACATCTTTTCTTTCAAAACCAGAGTACACTGAGACTGTATTTCAAAAGCTTTTGAATAATATATGTATGGTATTAAAATCCCTATGTAATAGTGATTATAAATCTCATAGATAAATGTCAGCACTGTAATGGTTTTGTTCTGTGTTTTGTCCTAGAGCTTTGATATTAGCAGTGTGATCCAGGAGGTCAATTGCGTTGAGGTCCGTTTCTTGTCAGCCGTTTTGTACGCAGCAGAGCAGAGCAGATGTCACAAAGGACACAGCATCCCCCCGGCGTGCCCTCCACCTGTGCAGAAAGGAGAGTGCCACGTTAATTTCATCAGAAAGGTAGGGGCAGAATTGTCTGTCTCTGGCTTCAGGCTGGGAAAGAGGAATGCACCACAAGCTGTCCTTACACTTGTGCTCTGAAACCTGCAATGTTGTTTTATAAGCAGGGCATATTTTTCATTGCAGCTTCCTTCTCCCATCCCCCCTAGAAACCTGTACTTTTGTATGTTGACAATACAGGAGGTGTGAGAAGGCCAGGCTTCATATCTAAGTGATAAGAATGTTTAAAAGGCTGTTTTCATCAGAGTCAGCAAGGAGACTTGCTGCTAAGAGGGCAGGATAGCATTGGGAAATGTGTAGTCATTCCATTTTGATCCACTGGGTGGGTTTAGCAATGTATGCTGACAATAGAGTTCACTGTTGCAAATACCAGTGTGTTGTAGCCAAGGCTGTAAAAATCTCATCCAAGTAGCTTTTTGAGTGTTTGCTGTTGCTCATGTGCTGTGCCATTTATCCTGGGCAGCTCTGGCATGTCCCAAGAAGTGTTACCTAACAGGGAACCTGTTCTCATCTTATTAGTGTTCTCAAGTGTGACTTATATGTACATATTCAATGGAAACAGCAGTGTAATATAAATGAATGAGACTTAGAAACTTTGATTTAAGATATGGCTTCTTTGTGTTAAAACAACTCAGGGCAAACTATCATTTGAGTAGCATCTCATGTATTTCTGATAGCTTTGCAGCAGATAGAGGCAACGTCTAGGTGATCTTACTTTCTAATTTCTCTTTTTGGGTGTTTTTGCATATTTGTTTCCTCTTAAATGCCTTTCTTGATAATTATTTTCAAACTTTCTAATAAAGTCCTTCTAGAGTTTCCTCAAAAATGACTAGGATTCTGTAAATCTGGTATTTAAACTTGGATATAATTTCCTTTAAAAATTATTAATGTAAACATGGACTCCATGTTGTCCTGGAAAGATCCTTTAGGATTAAGATGCTGTCTTTATTTCTGCTTGCTGCTACTTTGATTTTCCTTACATTTTAGAAAATTTAATAGTTCTTCTGAGTCCACTGTGTTTCTCCGAAATCAGTGCAAGGAGAGCCTTGGAAGGAATAGTGCACTTACACAACTGTAGTCTTATTTATAGAGCAAAAGAGACCTGGAATGATTTTATGCCTCACTGAACTATACCTTTAAATTTGTTAGAAAGTACCCTAGTGCTTTTTCCTCAAATGAATTTTTTGATTGTACTTGGAATTCAAAATGTTTCTGGAAATTTCTGGAGCAGTTTCCAAGTATTGGCAGCAACAGCAGCCATGTCACATCTAAAACTAAACAGACATACCAGGACATTGCTATAAGCTGGTTGCTTCCCATCTGAGGGTAATGGGGAGCTATTTACACATTTCAGGTGCAGTATTAAGTGCAGTGGACATATCTAAATCTGAGTAGGGATTTGTGGCAGAACACAAACTTGTCACTGCTAATGTACCCCAGTGATACAGGCATATTGTTCTTGTGACATAGTGTTTTTGATAGCAGTGTCTGCAGTGTTTTTAGTGAAACCTGTCAGTGATTCATTTGTTTATTTTTATAATGGGAAATTTATTTCCAATTGGACATGTTTTCTAAGAATATGTTATCCCTGGTTTTCTGTTTGAAGTAGGTGCAGTGTTTGCTTCCTGGAAGGCTCTTTTGCAGTTTGATAGACAGGGAGGCTGACTGGCAGTGCAAGGGATAGGCCAGGCTTGTGCAATGTGGTTTGCCCAAATTAGTATGCCTTGGCTGTAAGTTATTAGTCTCTAAATTTAGAACTGTGTGTCACTGTACAAGACTTTAGGAGATCTATTGTATTTGCTTTGGGGGCTGGGGCTGTGTGAAACTTGGAGGGCAGCTGAATAGATGTTGTCAAGGGATTTGTTAAGTAGAGGTCTGACCAGGTTTGAAAACAGCTAAATGGAAATTAGTGTACGTACTTCTCTGCCTGAGCAGCATTTTATAATTCTGACAGTTATTCTGATGTTAGTACCAGAACTAAGCTACTTCTCAACCGTGTTTTTGTTCCCTTTGTTTTTGTATAAGAGAACTATAAAAAGGGGAGAAACAGTGAACATGACTGAACTACACAAATACTCCGGACATAGCCATTTCTTTCCTTGTATTACTCTGTGGTGTTAAAACTAAAAATAGGAGATAAACTATTTCATGTAGGGTTTTTAATTTGATACTTTTCTTCTAGAATACTGTAACATTTCTAATTGTCAGTTTTCTGTTTAGTTAGTCTTTTAGGTATACAATTAAATACTGACATTACAAACAAAGATAATTCACAGCTGAATTGAGAATAATCTCCTGGATTGTTTTTTTGATCTTTACTGTTTGGGGTTTTGTTGGTGTTTTTTTAGCCATGCCCTAAGTGTGTTTTGCTCTTTTGGTAATAGAAAATTTCTCCATACTTGGACATTTAATACAAAATTTAATTTTTTGTATAATACAGGTAGTAGCAGCAAAGTTCTGGTTATGAAGTAAGAAAAAATACTGTAGGATCTTCTGGATTTATGGAAACTGGAAAAATTCTTTCAGTGCATGTCAATATTTTATTCCCAGATAGCAAATGTCTTTTATTTCTGGCAAGACATCAATGTCTGTGTGAACCACAGGCATGTGTAACATAATCATTCTGTTTTCCAGGAGCAATGCTCATTTAGTTGGGATTGGGGCCCTTCTTTTCCCACTCAAGGAATCTGGAAAGATGTTAGGATTGAGGCCTATGACCATTATCACCTGATTTATTTTTCTGTAACTCCTCTCTTTGGTAAGTCTCTTATTTTGTCTTGTTATTGGTTTCACCTTTAGAATACAAACCATTTTATTGGTAAGCCAAATTAAGTGTCAGGAAGGAAATGTTCCATGGGTTTTTATGACTTTGTGTGTAGTTCTTTCCAGAACACACCTTTATTAGGTATTGAAACAGTACTTCAATACAAACAATAACTGTTAAAAATGTTAGAATTCAGAATATTTTTTTGCTTAAAATCCTGAATAACTGCAGAAATAAATGTAGTATAATTGAGATTAGCACCTCTTTTTGATTTTGAAAAATTTCCTTTCTAATTTCATGTGTTTGCACCAAGACTCCCTGTAAATATGTCTCATTTTATTTATTTCATCTCACTTTCATTTCAAACAAAGGCAGAGCTGCTATGGGAATTTGGTTTTGTGTTGGAAGGACAAATGCACAGTGAGCAGAGTTCGAAGAGTGCTGAGTTTTCAGGACACAACATGAAGTCTGAGAGAAAAAAGCAAGTTGTGCTAGGCAAGGATAATTGTTAAAGCTGCAATTGGAGAGGATAACCTCCTGCATTCTTGTACCTAACTTACCAAACCGGTTTCCTCTCTTGCAGTGGTCTCTGATTTTCCTCTCCTTTGTCCTGAAAATCATTGCAGCTGTGCAGAAGTAGTTAATTTTCCCTTGAAACTTTCTGCAAATGGTGATATGCCTGGTTGAGACCACCCACATGCTTTTTTCACTGCCTGTTGACCCAGTGGAGTAGGGTCAGCACGTGGGTCCTCTGCAGTGGGGTGAATTTTGGCTCTTGGGAATAGATTTGTTGTGTATGAATAAAAGAGGAAGACATCACTCCATGGCTGTTTTTAAAGCATCCTGAAATAGCTGCAGGTCCTAAATAGAGTTGACGTGATTGGAATTTCCATGGAAAGCCCCAGCACAGACTGTGTGCTTTCTGAAATTTAGTTACAGTAAAAAATCTTTTCTGGTCCCTCCCACATTCCCACAACTCTCCCTTCTGGTAGGTAAAGTCTTGCTCTCTGGGTAAGTGAAGAGAGCAAACCTCTTTCCTTCAGTAGAGAGTGGCTTGGAACCAGAGCAAGAGCTTATTAGTATTCAAACATAATAATGTTTGAAAAAGAAAGAGTAAATGAACAACCTGAATTTAAGCTGCATATGTACTTTTGTTGTTCATCAGATTTAGCGTCATAGCCTTTTGACCACTGAGTCTGTGAAAGATTCATTGTTCTTGGTTTCTCTGTCTAGACCCCACAGTTCAGGCAGTTAGGAGTGGGTTGGAATTTCTATGTGTTTTTGTAAGGGAGGAAGAATGCACTGTAATGTCTGACCTTTGTAGGGTGGGTACTTTTAAACCTTTTCCACATTTCAGAGAATTGGTCTTCACTGAGTAATGCTGAGTGTAATATAAACTTGGGAACTCAATCATTGCTCTTCATTCTGTGCAAAACAGTGAAAATCATACCAGGGCTGAATGCAATTCTTTGTTTTTTGGAGTGAGCTCTTTCTCTTGTGAAGCAAGAAGAGCTAGACTATATAAATGAAAAGAGAAAGCAAGTTGTTAGCAATTTGTGTATACAAAATGTGTCTTAGTTCTAGTTCTCCTTGTTTTCTGTTTTGTTTGCTTTTGCTTTTATGTTGATCTGCAATATTTGAAGTATAGGATTAGCCAGGCTGTGTTAGTAGCTAGGCAATTCAACTGTTGAAGTTAGTGGGAAATTTACACATAGATCTTGAGTACCCTTGACCCTGCCTCTCCTTATTCAGTAAGGTCTGTAAAAGAGAGGATGCTCTGTGGTAACTTCAGAGAGATCTCAGGGAAGTCATTAACTTGTTTCTTTCACAACACATGGGTGGGAGAAGGGACATAAAGATATAGCCTGTCAAGTCTAGACACAGTGGGCCCAGTTCATCCCCAGTAGCTCCATTCATTTTGTCCAGTGAGTCTGGGATGAATTCAGCTCGTTTTCTGTTAATACTGTTTTTGTTTCATTGACAAAAGTGATTGTACTGGCTTGTGATTACAATCTTTCCCAAAGAGTGCCATGTTCATATGAGTGCTGACTAAAAGCAAATACAATGTCTATGGGAGTTGGTGGGAAAAAATTCCTTCCTAATGAAGTGACTGGTGTCAAGGTCTCTGACTTTTGTACAGAGCTCTGAAAAAAACCTGGATGGCTTTTGAATTAAAAAAAGAGTTTAAAAATATAAATCATATTGCATTGTTCTGTTCCATTGGACTCGGTTGTCAAATACACTAAATAAGCAGATTAACCATGTAGGCTGGTTTAGACACAGCCTGAAAATTGTTAAATTTAATCTTAGTTTTTGAATTTTTTCTTTAATGAAAGATCATGTTAACTAATAGGCATATAAGCATAATTCTTAAATTCCCATTTTTTTCCCCCTCTTCACTTAGTAAAGAGTGCTCAGCAGTGGTGTCTTGAAGTCGAGTCTGTTTTTGATGTAGTCAGCTCCAAGCCAATCGCAGGTCTTGTGACTGTGAACATTCCCAAGTTACAAACGCAGCAATCGTTCAGTGTGAAGCTTCAACCTGGAGAAGGCAGCATTGTGCTGCATGTAAACATCAACAAGGTAAAGAGGTGTGTGTGGAGAGCTTGTTCAGCTGCAAAATGTTTCCCCTGGTTTCCAGTGTGACTTTCTGCCTCCATGCCAGTTTTAGGCCTCCTTCCCATTCCTTAGTGTCTTCCTGACTTTTATCAACAGTTCTGTATCCCTTACAGGGTAGGAGAACAGTTCTTTTCATTTCTAAAATCTGATGTCTGTGAAGCCATGTAGCTTACTGCCAAAAGGTGATGAAGCCTTAGAAAAAGGTCACATAATCACTGGCCACGGTTAAATGACCTTTTTTGAGTTGTTTAGGTAAATAACGTTTGGGTACCCTGTGTCACTTCACTTCTTTGGCAGCAGGTATCTCACATGCTACTGTTTACTGGACTGATTGGGACCAGAATATACGACAATACATAGGATTCTCCCAGGAGAGAGAGGAAGCATTCCTCAAGCCTCTTAGTAGATATTTATTTACTTTCACGTAAATAAAAACAAAAGAAAATTTTGTGGAGTAATACCCCTTACATTCGCTTGTAGTCCTTTCGATAGGCAAATCTCAGGAGGAATTTTTGACTGGTAGAAGGTGCTCTAATGAGGAGCAAACTCAATTAAAAAATCAGGCTCCAGCCAGTGGGCAGAGTGCGAGCCTTGGCAGTGCAGCAGGAGCCACACCTGATGAAGTTCTCCACGGGAGCTTCAGGGCTGCAGGACGCACATTTGTGGGTGGGTGATGTGCTGTGAGCAGGAATTTGGGGCTTTTGACCATACTGGCAGTTAGTAGCACTAAATAAAGGGTCTGCCCTCAAGCTCTTCTATATTTTACTGGCTCTGCTGTTTTTCTGCACTGCTGTGTAATGCTGCAGCTGTTTTGCCTGTTTGACTGCATTGTCTGTGTTGTTCTTGAGTTCACTTGTCAGCTGTTTGCATGGAGAGAGAGCAAGCAGGGTATTTATGTTCCAGTGTGCACACTCTGTGACTTGCGTGCTTATGTGCTTTGTTTTATTTTGACACATAAGCATAGAAACGTACAGTTTTTTTACTGTTGTCATCTGATATGCAAGTTACATGAGCAATTACCAATACCCAGTTTCATTTAAAGCAACCATGAGTCTCTGCTTAGTCTTTTTAATGGATTACATTAAACAGGCACTGCAAAGTGAAACTTCAAAAATTATTTTTGCCTATTTAGTTGTCCCAGCCTCAGAAGAAATCTGTTAGTATAGTGCAACTGCAAGTCTGGGAGGAAGCACTTCCTTCAGAGCAGAGGCAGCAGTGTTTCATTATTCTTTGTGCACAAAAGGCTTTGCTGCATGAATTCACATCAGCTGATTTTATGAAAAGCCCCAAAATATGTTCTCATGTATTGATGAGGCTAACAGAGCACTTACTCTGTAGACACACTTACTCTGTACTCTTGTGTGGTGCACGTTAGATACTGAGACCTCACCAGAAATGTATTTTTACTGAAGAGCTTATTGCAGATTACGTTGTGGAGGCAGTAGGTGTTTGAGTGGTGCATATCGCAGAGATGTGTATCAGCCTTCCTGCGGTTGCCACGCAGAGTGCTGTGCTGCCAACGTGACAGCATTTTGCTTATCAGCTAGTGGCGAGCAGAGGGGTGACATCATCAGTGGCCAATGAGACATCCAGTCGTTCCAGGCAGCTGCGGACACTCCCTTGTTGTCGAGGCTCTCGCTGAGTCTGTGCTTCCTTTTGTATCCATGCAGCGCAGAGACCAGAACTTCCTCACCAGCGGTTGGGAGAATTCTCTATCAGAGAAGCTGAAAGATAGATTCATGATATATTCGTGGTTGTATCCAAGTATAGCCACAGCAAAACATATTGCTGGGCTGTTTTCTGGCCTCAATTTACTTGAAAAGATTGAGATACCCCTTTCATGACTAAATTCAGTGCTGATCCCTCATTGTTTGGTTGCATGCATTATTGCTTTCTTTCCACAATTTCTGTGTTATGCACGCAACAGGCAAATGCTGACAACAGGAATGAGCAGCAGAAGAAGGCTGCTAGAGTGAAGATAAATATTCTGTCATCTTGGAGATTGTATTTCATGTTTGTAAAAATTATGGAGTACTAATGATGTGATTAGGAAACACATAGAGACAAATCAGAAAATTACCGAATGAATGAAAGAATTTGACTTAAAAGCTTGACATAAGTGAAGCAGCCATTATGGTCATATAATACCAGAATCACAGTTGAAAAGTGTTACTGCTGTATATTGAATATTGCATGGGATAGGTAAAAGGATCAATGAGAGGAGGTGTATGATACAGAGCTCAGTGAACAATGGCTGCTGCTGACACAGATATTTGGGGTTTGGAGGAATAGTGTGTCAGTGTACCTCAGCTGAGGAGTGTGCCTGCGTGTCGAGGTGTGCTCATGGCCTGTTGTGAGCACAAAATGAAGTGATAGCCTGGACCTGAGCAGAAGAAATCACACAATCACACTTCTCTCTTTAAATGAGTTTTACCTCAGAGCTGCAGCTGGAGAGAATGTTAGCATGTCTCAGCTGAAGCACAAAACCTCGTTAGGCTTGTGGTGATTCACTCAAAGATACCTGAGCCCAGGTGCATTTGATACCTCTTACTATACCTATTGCTCAGGCTTTCTCCCTTGTGTGTTCAAGAGTGCTGCAGTGGAGGCTTGGTGGCCAAATGGACATGGAAAGCAAACTGGATACAACATGACAACAACTTTCATGATGGAGGCAGGATGCCAGATTGAGAAGTTTTCAAAGGTGAGCCCTAAAGTTTAATTACATCTGGTATTCCACTGTTGGTGTTAGGACATCTGCTCTGCGTAACAAAAAGTTATGCTCAGTCGTAATATGCATGTGAAAATGCTAATAAGAAATGAAGTTTTTTTTAATGTCACAATGCATGGCTACCTCTTTTCTGGTACTCTCACCTTGTGTGGATGCATTTACTTGAGGCTGCAAGATGGTTTACAGTTAACCAGAAACCTCAGAAGAGAAAACATGAAAACTTCTTAAGTTTTCTAGCTTATGAAAAGAAAACAGCACTTCTAAACTTCATGTACCATGCTCTTGGTTTTGTATCATGCACTGAAAAACCCTTTTAGATTTCTGTAAGATTATGCAAAGGTTTATTACTGGGACTTTTTTTGCTAATTTCAGTTTGTAAAAATTTATGGGATAGACACATTCCTAAAAACCTAACATACATTTATTTATTAGAATGTGCTAGGTGTGCTTCAGGCTTAAGAAAAGATAAGGTCTTAAATACAACCATAAAAGTAATATTTGGGTGTTTTTGCATAAGGGTTCCCCTAACACACTGGCTGTTTAATTATCTGTTTGGTTTTACTAAGGAGCCTAGAGGAGGTAATTTCCAATTGTCCATTAGAAATAAAAATCTTAGAGATTAGACTGGCCTCGTTATGTCATGAACATGTGTTAACAACCACATAAATGTATGCCTTTATTAGATGTTTGTGGTGTATACTGCTTTATTAAAAACTAATCTGGTCACCAGGCATCTGAACTGCTATTTGATCTAACATTTGTTAGTGTGAAAAAAACTTAGGAAAACTAGTAGCTTCTGGTGTTGTATCATTATAGGACTAGCCCCTAGTTTGATTATGAAGTCATAATAATAATAATAATTTGCTATGATTAGTGTTCTAATTTTGAAACAATTAAAAAACCCACACCAAGTAAACACAGCATGTGTTGCTTGGAAAAACTGGTGGTAGGAAATACAACTATAAACCCTCTAAAAAGGAAAATTCTGTTACTATGTGAAAATTACACAATGATAGGAAAGCTAATAATTTCCATTTGGGTGCTTGTGTCAGAATATTTCATAGAGCTCTGTGGCATGAGATCATGGAGACTTCATGGTCTACAACAGAAGACTCTTTTTTTTTTTTTTTTTTTTTCCTTAAAGGGAAAGAGGGGGGAAAAAATCCCCAAATGCACCACATAGTGGGCATTGTGAATTAACCAGCATATGAAGCCTTTACAGCTTACAGCGTGAAGTCTGGTCATCCTTCCCATGTTTTGTGCATCTCTGTCTTGGTTTCTGACAGACACACGTGCACACACACACCATCACCCCCAGTCAGAGCTGTATGAGTGGAAAAAGGCTCTGTATGCAGTTTTTTCATGTTGTAGCATAAATTTCTCTCATGTCAGCAGGACTGAACAGCAACATTCGTATAGCTTTATAAGAACTTTGAGTAGTACAACAGAGTAGTTCAGGAGATACAATCAGGGATTAATATTCCTGAAAGTTGTTTTTTTGTCAGTTCTGTTGTCCATGTTGTACTGACTGTATTCAGGAAGAATAAATTTCCTACTTGCATATTCCCCGCCCCCCCCAGGAAAAAAGCAGAGGTGAGGCATTTCACATGTGGTTTGTGTCCCTATGAGTATCTACATAACTTTGGACAGGAAAAAACTGAAGCATGAGAACTGTACATGTGAGAGAAAGCACAGCTTGATCTTATGTCAGATTTGGCTACTCCAAACTTGAACTACTTTCTGGATTCTGACATGATAGAGTAGTCTTCAAAACTTTAACCAATCCTTTGGGAATATTTCTGGGTGGCCTTCCAGTATGTACTTGCAGGAGCTCTATAGAGCTCTAGCCAGCAGTGCTGGGAATCTCTTTGGCTCAGAGAAGTACTTACTCATTCCTGTTCAGAGCAGCAGAAAACCAAAGCAGAATAAAAGCCAACATCTAGGATAGGATGTGGTTTGGTTTTGGCTTGGTTTTCCATTTGAATATTTTATTCTAGAGTTTGTTTCTCAGGATAACGTGAAACAAAGTCATATCTCACAGTGACATTGGTTTTCTTGATGGAGGGTCCTGTTTGCTATTGATAAGTTGCTTATTTCTTGCCGTCCCCACATTTATTACCTCTTTCATTGCCCCATGAAGCTTTTGTTTGCTTTTCAGTTCTATTTCCCCATCTTTCTGTGTACTCATTTCTACAGCATTGTACTCAGAGTTTTTTGGTTTTTAAGGCTATTTTTGTACTTTGAAAATCTTGGCCTCCGACAGTCTTTCCCTCCATCCCTTTCACGCTCTTTTCCCCTCAGGCATTTTAGCATGACTTCCAGAAGTCTTTTCTTTCTGGCTTTGTAGTTTTCACACCACTTTCATGCTGTGTTGTAATTTGTTAGGTCGCTGGGTTGTTCTGTGATCTTAGTTCAGCTCTAGGCATCTTCATCCTTATTACTTTTCCTACTGCTAAATATGGGAATGCCAAATGTGATCCACAGGTCACTTAACTGTGTACAAAGCCTTTGTGTGTGCTTTAAAAAGGTAGGTATCTGTTTCATAATTATGCTCAGAACCAGCTGATTGGTCTGTGGTGGCTCGAGAGCCCCTTGTGTGTGCCCCAAGGCTGAGAGAAATGCTCAGCCCTCAGGCAGCAAGCTCTATCAGACAGATTTAAGGGTGGCCAAGGTCTTGGTAGCCAGGAGGACACGTAACCAAGCTTGCCAGATGCTGGTTGTCTCCCATTGCCCTTCTTTCACCCCCCCAAGGCAGAAGGAAGCTGTATTAGGAGCAGGAAGATGTGCTGTTACCAGCTGGCCCGGGGAGCAGTGGAGTTGCGCTGAATCTTGGGGGCCTGGGAATGTGAGCTGAGGCTAAGGAGCTTTTTCTCTTGCTCCTGCTGTCTGGGTGGTCCTGGCTGAGTGTTTCAGCCTCTCAGGTTGCCTTGGCCACTGCATCAGTTCACTTGAGCAGGAATAAAGCAATGTCTCATTACTTCTGTTAGTAATATAAATGCTCCATTACAAATGCACTCTGAGACAGTCCCTACTTGCCTGATGACATCCCTTAAGATGACATCCCAAATACTTTGGCAGCTCCATCTGCAAGTCCCATTCCACTTAATGCCATAAAAATAGAGCCACAATGGAGACTGGGGAGTTTTTCTCCAAGTAGTTGAATTCAGTGTAGGAAGGTCAGAACATTTCACATACTGTAGTTTCTCTCCTGTAGCCTTCAGGAGTTAGAGTAACTGTGAAAATTGCATGAAACTTTGGTTATTATTTAAATTCAACTTCTCCTGTTAAACTAGGTCTGCAAAAATCTAGGAATGATTGCTGCCATGATGCAGAGCTCTTTAGGTTGAGCTCAGTGATCTGTGACCTCTGATAATGCATCTGGTTTGTCACATGCATTGTCTCTGTCCAGGTGTTTGGTTAATAATTGTCCAGTTAACTTAGAGGCACCAAAAAGGAATCAAACAGTGGTGATTTCCTTTTTCCTCCCTACTGCTAGAAATAGTTTTCTGTCTATATGTGTGATTTTTGATGAGCTGAATGTTCAGAAAATGCAGTCCCATAGTGGGATTAATCATTTGCCTTTTGAATAACAACGATGTCTGGTGTGTGAAATAAAGAGTTGCATTTTGTATTAAAGACAGGTGTATCATTTGCACTTAACTAGGTTAATTTTAGCCTGATGTAGTGACATATACTTGCCTCAGCTGAAGCTGAGGGAGAACAGGCTGTGCTCTACAAACTGACCTTTTGAAAAGGTAAAGCAAATAGTCAGCTGAGAGAGGAGTGGTTGCTATCTTAGGAGTAGTTAAAAAAAAAATTGTTTCCTGCCCTTCTGACTCAAACCTGTTTTGGCTAAAATTTACTGTGAGCTTTCCTTCCCATTATTTAATTTTCCAGTTTTCTCCCTATGATCATGAGCAACAGGTGCAATAAAGAAAACGTGTTTTCTTCCTGATGTAAGGAAGTTGAACTGGAACAGGGCACAGGAGAAGATGTTTAAAGTGTCCCTGAAAGAGCTGTTTTCTGGAAGAGTTTGGAGGTGTGCAGGAGCTGATATGGCAGGTGGGGAAAGCACTGTACAAATAAGGGGTCAGTGCTGTTGCAGTGCATTAACTGCTCCCTCATGGCTGTTTGTGTCAGTGCAGTCAGGATACCCCTCAGAGCAGTATTCCTGCTTGTAGTGAAGTCCTAGGAATCGTCTGGAACTATTTCCTGGGAGCTTTTAATTCCACCTGCATCAGGAGAAAGGAAGGTTTTCTTGTTTCAGCATCACAATGCCATGTATTAGGCTAAAAGAGCAGCTGTAAAAGTTTGGCCTCTGCTTCTGCTTGAGATGTGCTTTATCTTTAATACTTTACTCAGAGTAAGTGTTTATTTAGCTGAACTGGTCACTCTGATTCATTATTGCTGATCATGCTGTTCCTACACAGCTGTGATGGCCAGAGGGCCTTTCACTTGCAAAGTGGCATTTGTGTTTGCATGGGTGTTTTTTCTCTGTAAGTGTTGCATCTATTTAAAAAGTGTCATTTCAGAGAAGTAAAAGAAGCTCTTGCTTGTACTATGTGAATCTCATTCTAGGTATTCAGGGACAAGACTTAAAACTGAGCTGCTGCAGTCTCCTGGTAGAGAAAATTGCAGATCACATGGTGCTTCTGATCTGGTGGAGCCCCTGCATTCCTCTTGCTGGACTTTTGACTGAACTCTGCAAAAACCAAACTTCACCTGTCTCTCCTTACATACTTGTGTGCACATGTACGGTTGTTTGCTCATGCTTTCTCTTTCTCTCTCTTAATATGATAGCAACTTTAAAAAGTGAACAGGCTTATTATTGAAAGAATGCTTTCTAGTACTGTTACAGGGTGTTTTCAGCAAGCAGGAATTTAGAGATGAGTCCGTGTCTTTTGACTCCTTGACAAATTCTGAGCTGTTACTGTTCAGTTGTACATCCCTTTTGTAATGATTTTCTTTATTTATGTAGTTTTAATTCCTTTTTTGTCAGCTTTAAATCTAAGTTTCATGTCTTCACAGGTCTATTTTCGGACAGTAGAACTTATTCAGGAGCCTATTCCTGGATCACCAGGTCTGAGTTTCTACTTCAGAATCAATGGCCGACCCATTTTTATTAAGGGTTCAAACTGGATTCCAGCAGATTCTTTCCAGGACAGAGTGACCTCTGACACGTAAGCCACATTTGATGTTCTCTAAGGATAAAGGGTAATGTTTTCCTCCTCCTGATTCTCTCTACACCCTTTATCAAAGGTTGGCTTTCGTGGGTAAAACTTTCAAGGTAGAACACTAATTGTTGTGGGTGGGAGGGGGAGGCTACAGAATTAGGGTTAATTAACATGAACAGATTTGAGTGATGTTCAAGGCATGTAGGTGCAGTTGCTGGTGGGAATGTGTTTGCTTGCAGTTCATAGTTACTGGCCTTTTGGGTATTTTTAGGGATGGTCCTCAGGCTGTTTGACCCTGTCTGGACGCATCCATTGGTAGGCAGAGGATGTGCACTTCATCCATGTTCTAACCCATATCATGCAGGGTTATGTAGGTGCATGGCAGCCTCTCCCCTTCTCCTGATCTCATCTAGGCTCAGCGGATTTCAGTGCTCAGCACCACAGAGATTCAGGTGGGATGGGGGCTGTGCTGTACTTGGTCTAAGCTTTGCTCTGGGATATTGGGGAGCCAGCTCAACAGGGCGTGCTGCTGCATGCATTCACATGCAGTTTAGAGGCTACCAGTATGATTTAAGGAAAAATGAAGCCTAAAACCCTTAAAATGAGGGTTTTTCTCTCTATGCATTATGGAACTCAGGAAGAGGATATACATTCCTGATTGTGTTTAAAGAGAATTTGAATTCAAGTAATTGACATACAAAGCAAGTAATATCAGAGGAGAAAAGACCAACATGATTAATAAAACATAGTATTTCTAAATTTGGTCCTACCAAAACTTCTGTAAAAGCACTTACACATGTGTCACTCCATCTATTTTCTGAGTGTTAACAGGATCAAGCAATTTTTCTACGCAAAAAATTGTCTTTTGAGAGCTCTGTCCAGACATGCAAGTTTAGAAACCAGAGTATTTTGATACTTTCTGTTAGAGTTATAAGTCATAGATTGCCTACTAATGATTTAGATTTGGGTGGTTTTTTTGGTAGGGGCATTCATTTCTTCTTTTTTTGTATAACCTTAGAAATTCTTAACTAATAGAACTTCACAAAACTTGTATATCTCCTTTTTGTATTTGACAGACTAAGGCTACTCTTGAAGTCTGCAGCAGATGCTAACATGAATGCCCTTCGGGTTTGGGGAGGAGGAGTATATGAACAAGATGAATTTTACGATATTTGTGATGAAATAGGAATAATGGTAAAAACAATAAACACAGAATAATTATTTAAAAACTGACAAGAACTTGTAAATGAAAATCCACTTCAAATTTAAAAAAAGAGAATTAATACGTAAGTTCTAACCATCTTTCCAAAGGACACTGTAGAGTATCAAGACGAGGTCAGATTAACCTGATTTTTTGGTTGACTCATTGGGCTTCTTTAAGTTCTTTGTAATTTTAATGGTTTCTGATTACAGAGACTGAATCTGGAAGTGATATTTTGGAGATTTTATTGTAGAAGGTCACCATTAGGTAGAAGGTGGCTATGCTCATCTCAGTTTTGGAAAAGGATTTTATTTCTTTTAAAAGCATTTTCTTCTTTTTAGCAATAGCTGAAAAGGGTTGGGCAGTTTTGGTTCAAACTTCTCATTTGGTCCAAAGACAAACATGGAAGGCATTATCTAAGGGGCCATTTTGAACAAACTATAATTGAATATAAATGTAGCTGTAGGGTGAACACCTGCTGCAATCACTAATCCTGGATGAGTACCTTTGATTATATAAGCTTTGATTATATAAGCATGTATTAATAAGTTTTGATGAAGTAGTGACTAGATGAATGAGGGCCAAGTTGCATCTGGTATTAAAAATCCTGACAAGTGTGTTTGGTCTTAGTCTACACCATAAGAAGCAGGGAAACAGAATTCATACCTTGCTGCTTTCAGATGGGTGTGCTTGCAAAAAAAAAAAAAAGTTACATCTATTTTAGTGATCTGAATGAGTGTCCTGATTTTCAAGGCTTCTGAGCACTTACGGTTCTTCAATTTTTAACACTACGCTCCTTAAGTAGGCCACATAGATCTGTGTCTGTACAGTGCTCAGTGCAAGATTTAGATCCTATTGAACAGCCAAAATAGCAAGTAAATGCAGAAAATCAGACTCTTTTTCGGGAGGGGCAGTGGGGGAGGTTTTTGGTTTTGTTTCTTCTGATGATCTTGTAAAGGCTTAAAAGTGCATTGGAGTCAAACTGTGCTTAAGGAAAACCAGTGATAGCTCACTGAGAGAAATAGTGAGAAAGTTTCTTTCAATAGAGAGTTTTGACACCAACAGTCACTAAAGGATGATGAGTGATTCTGCAGCAATAGCTTTGCTTTTTCTGTACAGTGTTAGGATTGTAACAATTATTAATGGCTCCATTATCCCCCACTGTCCTATTCTTTATCTTCAGTTTTCTTAGGGAATGTGTGCTGAAAAGAGCCTTGGAAAAGCATATTCTCACTGCAATGAAAATGAAATTCTGTGAGGAGCTGGTCTCTGTCTCTCAATATGTAACACAGTGTTAGAAAAGTGGAGTCTCCTACAGACCCCTTTGGGTTAAGGTGCTCCTTCCTAGAGCTCTTTTCCTTAACATTTTAGACAGACTAGAAGGAGCCTCAAGGTTATTAAAAAGGCAATTTAAAAAACAAAACAGTAAACAAGAAATCTTATCCATCTCATTGGGCTTCCATTCCCATTTTTGTAATTCTGCTGCAAGTTACAAATGGAGTTTATTCTTCTTGAATTGAAAGGCTTGCTGTTGTCTTTCTTTGAAGAGAAAGATCACTGTGTTTTTAGAGCATCTAGCTTGTTTCTGCCCCTCTTACTGGGTAAGATTTGCTGGTTTTTAGATAATTTTGTATGGAGACGTTTTCTTCACAAGTACAAATTAAGGTCTCTTAAGTGTGCTCAGTGCCACATCAGAAGAATTATTGTCTCATCTCATTAAGTAGTGGGGATTTGGTGTTACACCTGTGAGAATAGTAAATAAATATGAAATTGTTCTGTTCAGCTGCAAATTGCTACATGTTCAATATCTGATTATTCTGTTGAAACTCACAGAACTTATCTACTGAGCAATATTCCTCTCCTCAATGTAGGCTGTCAGGAGCTGATTCCTAAGGGTAAATATTTTGTAACCCTGATATTGAGGAGTATGCACATAGTTGAGCCCCATGGTCAATGTGATTTGTTTTCTGTCTGAACAAAGGATAGTGTATCCCAATAGCCATATATTTTGCAAGTATGTAAAGTAACTTGCTGACAGTTTTTTTTAATCTTTCCTTTCCCTTGTAGATTTGGCAGGATTTCATGTTCGCGTGTGCACTATATCCAACCAACCAGAATTTTTTAGAATCCGTAAGAGCAGAAGTTACTCATCAGGTATTTTATCCATGTGTCAAAGCTCTATTTCACATTATCTATTTTTCATTGACTGTGTAAGTTAGCTTTGCAAAAATGGTTGTTTTGATGTTTTTCTTAGTGTACCTTTATGCAGCAGACAGAAAATGTAACATCGCTAAATCTTATTGAACTCCTCTGACTGCTTGCAGGAGTTGTCAGTCAAGAAGACTGCCCAGAATTTATCCTGCACACATGGCTGAGTAGAGGTCCATGATACATATGTGCATAGGACAGATGTGTCCCAGCGTATTATAAATTTTCCCTTCTGAAAGTATATATTACAAAACTTTGAGGCTGGTGGCAAACGGAGGGAATAGTGAGCCATGTGGCAAAAAAAGGGAATTGTAGGTTTAGCGTATGTAATATAATATACATGTGGACTTGTAATTCAACTAGTAGTAAAGTGATTATTTTAAAAAAGTTCATTGTTAAGATAAATAGTTTTACTTGACTTCTGAAACTGTAAGTTGTATTTCAGGTGCGACGTTTAAAATCTCATCCATCAATTATTCTGTGGAGTGGTAACAATGAAAATGAAGCAGCAATTGCAAGCAACTGGTTCTCCATACCTTATCCTGACATAGGAGTCTATATCAAAGACTACGTGACCCTTTATGTGAAGAACATACGTGAAATAGTTCTTTGTGTAAGTAATCTCAAGAAACTCCAGGAGGATATGGTTTGAAAAAGGTTTTAATGTTTGAGCAAGCTGGGATTTTCCTTTTTTCTTTTAATTCTTTTAAGAGATGAGGAAGAGCATTTTGAGAAATTGCTCTTTCCAAGCTCTTCTAAATAACTCTCTAAACTCAAGAGTTATTCTCCAAATAAAAAGATATTTAAAAAATTACTTGTCTTTAACATTTTATGATGTGTAAGGTAAGACCTGAAAGTGTAGTAGATCTCACTTCTTTTTTCCTTCCTGCTTTTAGTATGTCCATGAATGCCTTCACTTCTAGTGGACAGAAATCAGCTTGCCCATTAATTAATTAATCTCAATTAACAGGTTTTCTTTATCTAATTTTGTTGAAGAATACTTTGAAAAGCATTCAACAGCCCTCAGATCTTTTAATAGCAGTTGAAAAAAATCAATAAAGATGTTATTTCTTCAGTATGTGACTGAATATTTTTTGTTCTAAGCGGGTAAAGCAAAAGTGATGCTAAGCGTTGAACTCATGCTGTGTAGTCATTGTATTGATTTTGCAAACAAAATATTGGTATTCTACAGAATATGAAGGCAAAGAAAAATATTTTGATATAAAATTTAAACTGCAAGTATGCAGTCCACAAACACCTGGCATCCTTAATGAAGTCTAGTGTGATTTTGCACAGGTTTTTAAAGGATTATTTATCGTCTTAGAAGAGGAGATTCTAGATTTCTGTACTGAGCTGTGTGTAAAGGTGTGCTGTGGTGTTTTTGTGATTAGCTACCTGAGTTGGATATGTGTATATGCAACAAAGTGAGTTGTTCTGGCTTTGTGCTTGTGCAGCGTTGCCATCCAAGATGGACCGATTTTTATTTTAAATCTATAGAATAGCTATTCTGAGTGCATAAAGGAACCATAGAGGGAGATAACTTCAGGTCCTGCATAATACAAGCCAGCTGAGGAAACCTGTAACTACCAGTAGTGATGGACTTGGTAACTTGAAAAGATTTCTACCTTTGAGCTAAAGACTTCAGGGAATCCAGGATTTCCTACAGTAAATTGTTTCAGTTAATTATTAATTACTCACACCAAGAAAAAAAGAAAGAAGATGATGTGGGAAACAGGATTGTTTCTTAAAATGGGGCAAATGTCTGAGTGCATTGCTGTGTTCCAGTCAATTGCAGTAACTTGTTACTGGTGACTACACTTGGGCCTCTATCTTACTAGAAGTAGGGTGTTGAATGAATTATACCTGCAAAAGGATTCCTTCAGTACTTTGCAGACTATTGTTAAAAGATTTAGTATTCTAAGTCTTCTGAGACTATAAATAAAGGCAGCTCTGAACAATTTGAAATGTAACCCTTCTTGTAATCTCATCTATGTTAGCATGCAGAGCCAGCTAAAATGACAATAACCTGTAATGATACCATGCAAGCATTAAAAGCAGAACACCTTGGATTTGTTAGGACTAAATTTAGGTGACTGTTTAATAAGAAAGGAGAAAATCATGGCCTTGTTCCTGTAAAAACGCTGGAAAAGTAATAATTTTCCATAAAGAAGTCATAGTATTCCAATATTAATGTTACTTGAGTATATATTTCACAAGGCACACTTTAAATAGCCTTCATTAAGAATTTAGAGGCATATAAAGATAGAAAATCTCTTGATGTGAGGAGAGAATCCCTCAGAAGAGCAGAGCAAGCAGAATCATGCCCAGCTGTCCTCCAAGAACATAAGTAAGAAGCTAATTAAGTAAGTAAAGATGATGAATGTTAGGACATAAAAAGGGAATGTTCCCTAGGTGGTGACTCAGAAATTTGGAAAAAAAATGGTCTCCGTGCCCCCAAGCCCCTCTTTTCAAAAAATAGTCTATGCATTCAGATGGTAAACGTCAATCACTTTGTAAAGGGGTTGTATTTTTGTTTTGTTTTGTTTTTTTTATATCCCAGGAAGATAAGAGTCGTCCTTTTGTGACATCCAGTCCCACCAATGGCTTGGAGTCAGTCAAAGAAGGCTGGCTCTCCCGGAATCCTTACGACACCCATTATGGTGACACACACTTCTATGACTACAGCCATGACTGCTGGAACTGGACAATGTATCCTAAAACTCGTTTTGCTTCAGAGTATGGATTTCAGTCCTGGCCTTCCTTCAGTACCATTGAAAAGGTAAGGCTGGGCTTCCACACCTTGCTGTCCCCTTTGCTCTCATTTAGTGAGGGCAATGAGTCTCTTCCCAAAAACTTCTGCATCCAAACCATAGTAATGTGTTGTTAGGCATGGTATGGCATAAGTGGGATAGAGGTGTGTGCCTGGGGAGGGCGGGGATGGAACCATTCTGTTTCCCTCCTCGGTGTTCAATATACTTACCTTGATGTTGCAAGAGGGACTTGGTTTGGATGAGAGAGTGTTATGAAACTGTTATTTCTGGTAGTAATTCTATTTAATGTATAGAGGAGAGGAGAAATATGACAAAAGCTGAATTGTGCTGGATTTTAAAATGCTTTGATTTCTATGTATTTACCAGTTTCTTTCATTTAAATAATCTGTTTCTTAATGTATTGCATGTAAGAAGATTTGGTTTTGTCTCCATTAAATTTAGATATTATATGTTCTGTCTTATTTATCAAAGTGGAGCAGAGACATACCATGACGTTTGTCCATTTGTCCAGGGAGAGATGTTGATATTCATGCATGCAAGCAAAGGGAGTTCAGAATGTTTCTTTCAATTTGCTGGGCAAAGCCTATTATCTGAAGCATTATCAGAACATTCATCTATATGAATAACAATAAAAAATATTCAATCCAGCCTAAAAATAAACAAATTTAGCTAAGATTGTTTAGAGAGAGTAATTCCAATGAAAACTTGGCAATAATAACTTAATGAGTTATGCTTGTTGTTGTCTATAGTTGAAAAAAGCTGGTTTATGATAATTTGTTATCAGGCAGGTTTTGAAAATGTATAGACATATTATTAGAATTTATATACCCCTACTCACTTACATAACTTTTATACCTCAATGTGTTTGACTAGATTACATTCTTTCATATTAATGTAGGGTGTTTCTGATTTACTATGAATGCAAGCAAAACTCTGAGGTCCCTTGGCCAACCCAAACCTTAGGACAGTTAAGTTAAATGCCACTGAGCCAAAAGTTGCTTTTCTGGGTTGAATGGCAATGTGTGTTTTCATTTATTTGTGCAAGGAGTGTAAGCAAAGGGTGTTAGTGATTAAAAATCTTTGCATGACTGCATGAGGCACTGTAGAAATATACTACCAGTGTTAAGGTTTTGGATGATATCAGTGGGCTGTAATGGATATCCTTTCCTCAGTATCCTGGCTGTCATTAAATGTATATTCTACCTTTTCATACAGATACCTTATTTTTGCGTTTTTTAAAGGTTTCCTCCCCTGAGGACTGGTCCTACACAAGCAATTTTTCTCTCCATCGGCAGCACCATGAAGGTGGCAATATTCAGATGCTTCAAGAGATTGGGCGTCATTTCAAACTTCCCCAGTGCCCAGATCCTGTAAAGCAGTTCAAGGATATGATTTACCTCACTCAGGTAATAGTGATTCTTCCATAGAAGTAGCTGTCAGTACTTGTTCCATTAAATTCTGTCAGCTGTTAGAGCTGGGCCTGGTCCCTTCAGGAGTGTTCCATCATACAGAAAGTTTCCATTCTGAAGAACTAGAGAGTCCAGTTTGGTTTGGAGCTAGCTTGTCTCTCTTTAATTGTAGAGAGACTCCAGTTCCCATGATAGAAGGGCTGAAATAATCAGGGAATTACCCAGAAACTGGGAGAAAGTCTGTCTGAAAGTATGTGCTGCCTTGGTCCTTCTCCCCAGCTGGGCTCACGTAGCTGGGGGAGGATGCAGGGATGTGCTGGGCTTCCATGGTACAAGATTATTCCCAGTGCTGCATGTTACTCTCTGTTCCAGGGTGGGGATGTTTTGCTCTTCATGTGGCCCTTGTAGGCTCACTGCTTTGATTCTTCCCACATGGAAAACATAAGCTTTGGAAGCAGTATTTTTTCCAAAGAATGTAGTTCTCTATTAACCAGAGAATTTTATTTTGTTATGGACTCAAATATTGATATTTTAGTAAATACATTTTGAGTTTTTTTCAAATCAGAAGCATGTATTTTGCTTTTCATTCATAGTAATTCAACATCATGCTTGCTTCTTTATTCTGTGCAATTTTTAAAAGATGCTAAGTAACTTTCTAATGCTATTATGCAAATTGAAAGTGCTGTTAATTTTTGGTGTGTTTCAAGAATTTTAGAAACACTCACGATAGAAGTAACTGCACACTCACTAAGTTTCTAAGGTTTGAGAGCTGCTGTCATCAGGTTTTATATAAAAGCAAAATTGCTTGAGCATTTCTGGCACTCTTGACAAGAGAAAAAGGATAGATGATGCTGTGAAATTGAAACCAGGGGTAAAGCTTTCACCATGAGGTCCTGACTCAAAAAAGCTGGGAGAGTTTCTGTAAGGCCAAGTCTGTCAAGGCCTTATTAACAGGTTAAACAATTTAATACCAAAATAAGGATAGCAAAAAGGAAAAAGAAAGCAAACTTGCTTTAGTGGTTAACTAGAAGTAATATCTTTACCTTTAAGGCTTTAACTTTATTTTAAGAATTTCTTTATATTTCCCCAGCCTAATAATAAACTGTGTGAAGAACATATCAATCTATTTAGCACCCATTGAGAACTTGGCCAATGAAAAATTCTGAAAAGTGGTTTTTAGATGTCATGAAGAAGGAGAAAAGGAGTGGGAGTGCAACTGAAAAAAGGTTGCTTTTCTGATGCACGGTTTTGACTGTATAGTGAGAATGTGAGTTGAGATTGTGGGGATTTAGACACAAAGGTAACGTATACTGAAGGAAATGCAGCTTAACATCATTTTGCAACTCAGGAGGGGGCTATTTAAACTAATGTTTAAAAAATACTTATTTTAAATTTCATTTTAGTTTCCTTGCCTTTGATTTGCCTTTCAAAGACCGTTCTCACTGTATGGAAGTAGCCCCATATGAGATTCTTGAAGGTGACTGCTTGCAAAGCTGTTGGGAGCTGCTAGGAATAGATCTCTTTTCAGCAGTGTTCCTGCAGTGCAGGTGGATACTCCTCAGGGCTTAAGTTTAAAGTTATGTGCTGTTGCTGTGAAGTCTCTGTTGTGTATCAATATATTCACACATGTTTTGAAAAAAAGTAAAATCCAATATGCCAAAAATAATTTTTATCTCTTTGTTGACCAAGGTGATGCAGGCTCAGTGTATAAAGACAGAAACTGAATTCTATCGTTTTAGTCAAAGTGAAATAATCAATGGAGAAGGACACACCATGGGAGCTCTGTACTGGCAACTCAATGACATTTGGCAGGCACCTTCATGGGCTTCCTTGGGTAAGTCTTGTGGCAGTCTGGTGAAAAACACCAGCTACCAGTTGTGTTTTCCTCATCTGGAAGTATCAGAATAGGAAATACAGCTCTGCTCTGTCTCTTGGGCACTTTGAACATATTTTTGTCCATCCTTTAGAAATGTATTACAGATGGGATTTATGATGTAAAAATGGAACATCTAGATTTCTTCTCTAGTCAGCTGGGGGGGAGAGATGGATATCTCCAGATGTGATTCATTGTCCTTAACTGTCTCAGAACTGGGGTGAATTATCTTCTCCATGATGAATTTGATTTTCATAGAACTTCATAAGATATCGCTCACCCAGCGTAGCTTCTGAGGAGCTTTTTATAGGAGATCCCTGGCTGAGATTTGATGTCTAACTTAGTGTCAGGTGAGGTGAATCACTCCTCATGACTAAATTATTTAATATGTGTAAATAGCATATTAACACATAAATAGCATATGTGTTAATATGCTATTTACACATATTTTTTTCCTCTTAGAACACAAAACTAATCATACATAAAAAGATATAAATCACTTAGACAGTAAGAAATAGGGGAGGAATGAGGCAAGTGTGGCATGAGGGAAGTGGCTGTGTTTTATGTTCCAAACATTTTGTCTAGGAGTTGTTTTGAAATGTCCTGTGGCAGCTGTATAGGACTTGGGTGGATTCTCTTTCAACTTTAGTTATTTCTCACATATTTTGGTTTTGAAAATTTTTATTTAAGCATTTCATGTGTAAAAAAATAGGAACAAACTAGAAATAGATAAGAAAAAAATAAGACTGTCTATGGACTGTCTTGATGTGCCCTTGGAATAAAATGCCATTTGGCCTGGTTTTGGGAAAAAATTAGCCCACACCATCCTCCCTCTCTTTTTCTGGGAGATGTTTGTCCCTCTCCCTTTCTGTTATTTTTATTTTTTTCTTTTTTTGATTAGTCCAAACAAAATAGCTGCAACAACAAAGCAAAAACCAGTAGAAGAAAGAGGCTAATTTATTTAAATGATAAGGCAGTGGTCCAGCTATGATGCTCATCTTTCTGGACTTTCTAGACTTGTATTAGGAAATGGAATATCACAGTGTTCACTTTTATGATTCTAGCAATAAGTGATGCTCGTAGGTTTTAAGTGCCTCAAGAGAAAAAGATGCTTGGAAAAGTGTCCCTTTGTCAAGACAGGTGTATTGGTAGATGTAATAGTTGTGGAGACCATAAATGTCTTTTTGAGTACAGAAATGACATCACTGTAGAATATTTATCAAATACTTGAATTATTCATATGTTGTTGAAGTTTAGAAGAAAGAAGCTCAGCAGAGATACAGCTGTCCTTTTGTTTTGTTGTATTCCCTCAGAGATGAGGAAAGGTTTAATATTCATTTAATTAGGCAGTGTGGTAGAGGGATTTTGAAATGCTAATGGCTGAAATTATGCAAGACTTGGGAGAAATTAGTTTTATTTGCACTTCAAAAACACGTTTCTGCATCTTGTTAGGTGGCACAGTAGTATCACCAATGAGTGCTTTTATTTAAATCTGTTGCTTTGCAGAAAGTCATGGAGGGGTTTACATAATTTCCGGTACAAAGCAGAAATGTTTGCACGTGGTGAGGAAGGAAGAAGGTAGCAAATGTTTCTCCTTTTAACTTTTACCTTTAAGATGTTTGCTTGGGTTGAATGAAAACACAGCACAGCATTTGTGTCATAGTACTTCTGGCTTCAGCTCAGAAGTAGAAAGCTTTGATCACAAACGGGGGGGCTCTGACTGTTAGCACCTAGCTGTAAGGCTGGCTATGCCATGTTGGATGCTTCAGCATCTCTGCAGTGTGTTTTGGTGGAGTGCTGTGACACTCCCAGACAAGGGGCACCTTGAGGTACCCAACTCAATAGTCTTGAGATCCCCTTGAGCAGGTAACTGGCTTTTATTGCAGGTTCAATATTTAGAGCCCCTGGTGAGCCCTGGTACAGACTGTTCTGAAGAATAATTGATCTGAATTCATGAGGCTGAGGTGAGGAAAGAACTAGCAGCATGTTTCTCAGGTTGCATTTAATGGTGTGAAGTGATTAATTTAAAATCATTTCAGGGAGATCTGTTTATTTGCACTCCTGCCATCAGTGTAGAAGGCTTCAGGGAAGAGTCAGAAAAAAGGGTATTAGGGTCTCATGACAAACCTGATTCTGAATTCCTGTCTGAAGTTTAATACCACAGAGTGCAATTCCCTTGTTATTGCCAAGAAAAATTGAGGAACTTGGATATCTGTAAGAATTTCTTTAAATGTGGGAGGAGGAGAAAACCACCCCTGGGCTATTTTAAAGAACTTTTGACTGTTGCCTTTGGGCATGCATGTCTGTAATAGGAAAGTTTAAACCCAGAGGTTTCTCATGATAACTTCCCGACCTCCAGATTTTTTACATCCATTTTTGGGTGTGTGTTCGTGGTGTATTTGATATGCAACTTGCCTGTTTTTAAAGAAAGGAATGTAGTTCTGGTCCTATGGAAATCAAGACAACAGAAGAACTGAAAAATACAGGCTTTAAAATTAGCTTCAGTTTTCCTTGCTGTCTGAAGTTACTTTGACAAATGTAATGTTAAGATTCTCTTGCTGGAAAAGTTGTCTTTGGAAAACACTTCCTGTGTGAAACTGCTGCAGCAGTTGAGTTTTGGTTTTTTAAAATGGCTCTAGTTTTTTTGGAAAGGGAAGTACCAGTATTCAAAGCTGATTTGAGTTAAGCAGACTAATGATGTTTTCAAACATCCAAAACAATGGGTGTTGAAGTAGTAGAGTGGGTTTTGAAATGGTGCAAACTTTAAAGTGTGTGGTTTCTTTGATTTTGTTTCTTGGCCGGGGATTTTGTTTGCTTGGGTTTTCCTGTGGAAGTCTGATGCCATGTTGGCTCTGAGTGTGTTGTCTTCACTGTAAAGGTTTTTGAGGATCTCTGCTGCCTTGGTAGCAAACCTCCTCTCTTTCCCTCTGCAGTGTGGCTGTGTAATCCAGCTGGAAATCAAGGCACAGCAGAGGTTGAGAAGGACCCATTCAAAAAGAAACAGGATTTTCTATTACACTAAGTAGCAGAAACTGCTCTACATTAATTGCATTTTCCATTTCCATATATAAGACGGCTGAAGCCTAGATTTTCATTATGTGAATTAAGCTCAGGAAAAAAAATTCAAGTCAACAGGCACTGAAACCTCAGACCATGCTGGGTAACTTGTCTAAGCTTGTGGTGGGCTTTGCCTGGATTCTGCAGTTAGCAACATCTGTTGCATTGGCAATTTAATTAATTGACAGTTGAAATTCCAGTAAGTCTTGTAGCAGTCCTGAGGGCTTTAGAGATTTCAACCCCTCCCAGACTCTCCCTGCCCATTTCTCATACAAGGCCCATAGCTTTTTCTTTGTTGGATCAGATACTGCCCCCTTGTTTACTCTGTTTCAGATAATCCATCCCCAGTCTGAATCTCCCATCTTCTCAAGTTTAATGACTGAAGAGTAATTTGTTAGCACCCCCTATTTTTGGTACTTTTATTCTTTAAACCACCAGTGTTTTCTGTCAGGAAGTGTCCTTGGAGTGCCAGAACATGCCTTTGTTCATATCACCAGGGGATCAGGTTTTTGAAAGGCAGGTCACGCTTGACCAACCTGATCTCCCTCTATGGCAAGCTGATGCAGTTGGTGGATGAGGGGAGGCTGTGGTGTTGTCTGCCTAGACTTAAGTAAAGCCTTAATGCCATTTCCCACAACATTGTCCTGGAGAAACTGGCTGCTCATGATATGGATGGCTGCACTGTTCACCATGAAAACAAACTGGCTGGAAGGCCAGGCCAGGTGTGGTGGTGAGTGGATTCACACCCAGGTGACTGCAGGTTGCTACTGGGATTTCCCAGGGCTCAGTACTGGGGACAGCTCTGCTTAATGTCTTTATCAAGGATCTGACCAAGGGGTTCGAGTGTTCCCTCAGCCAGTTTGCAATCAACACCTGATTGGGTGGGAGTGGCAGTAAGGCTCTGCAGGAAGATCTGGACAGGGTGGATCAGTGGGCTGAGGCCAGTTGTATGAGGTTCAACAAGGCTAGGTGCCAAGTCCTGCCCTTGGGTCACAGCAGCCCCAGGCAGTGCCACAGGCAGGGACAGAGTGCCTGGGGAGCTGCCCAGTGGGAAAGGACTGGGGGGTGCTGGTGACAGCAGCTGAATATGGGCCAGGGTGTGCCCAGGGGGCCAGGAAGGCCAAGGGCATCCTGGCTTGTGTCTGCAGCCAGGAAGAGTAGGGAAAGGGATTTGTCCCCCTGTACTCAGCACTGTTGAGGCTGCACCTCAAATTCTGTGTTCAGCTCTGAGCCCCTCACTACAAGAATGGCATTGAGGTGCTGGAGCATGTCCAGAGAAGGGGAATGGTCTGGAGCAGAAGGCTTGTGGAAAGTAGCTGAGGGAGCTGGGGCTGTTTAGCCTGGAGGAAAGGAGGCTGGGACACACCCCCACACCCCCACACAGCCCTTATTGATTTCTCCAGCTACCTGAATTGAGGTCGTATCAAGGTGGGGGTCAGCCCCCTTTCTTCATTAACAAATGACAGGATAAGAGGAAATGGCATCAAGCTGTGCCAGTGCAGGTTTAAATTCGATCGTAGGAAAAAATTCTTCACTGAAGGTGTTATCAAACATTGGAGCAGGCTGCCCAGGGAAGTGGTGGAATCACCATCCCTAGAGGTATTTTACAAGATACACATATTTTACAAGGTATGGCATGGGAACTTAGGGATGTGGTTCAGTGGTGCACTTGGCAGGTGAACAGTTGAATTTGATCCTAGAGATCTTCTCCATCATAAATAGTTCTATAGTTCTGTACTGAGAAGCACCAATATACTGAGTATGTTCAGTTTATTGACTGTCTGTTTTGAAGATATGCAGCTGCTTCTCCTGAAGTTTTCCTCCAGCCTTATCTCTTTGGTTTGCTTCAGTGCAATTGATTTGAATGCCAGTGGTGTCTTTGCTGGCAACAGACTGATCTCATAGCACAGTTCAATCTTGTGTGGGTTTACCAGCTAGATATGAGCTTCTCTTGTTGTTTTCCAAGCTAGCTGGGTGTGAACTTGCTGAGAACAAGGTGATGTGTAAGGTGCTAAACGGGAGCGAATGCACTTATTCTTCACAAAGTTCATTCATGTCTATGTGGAGTGCAGACAAAGCCTGTTCAAGTCCCCCTGGGAAAGCCACAGCAACCCTTTTAAGACTATGCTAGATAAGTCTTTAATTAGGAGATGTTTGAATGGACTAAGAGCTTTGTACAAGAACCAAAACTAAGAGAGTGATTACTAAGATTTACAACAAACACATCTCACTGAAAATATTCTTCATACCTCATAAAGCATACATCAGCTTTAAACTTGTTGTATAAAGTAAACACCCAGAAACAAGAATGAAACCTGTATCTAACTTTTCTTTCCTTGTGAGATGGTGCAGCTGACTTGCTGCTTCTTTTTCATGCCATTTCAGTGACTGGACAATGGTTGAGCAAGGACAAACTTAAAATGCAGATAGTGGGTACTAGATGGAATGTTAATAGAGGAAAAAATGGATGCAACTTCTCTTTCAAAATGGTTACATGACAGTGTTGCAAAGCAAGAAAACAAAAGTGCTTTTTTTGGAGAGGATGCAGAGTTTGATGGCTTTTCCAGTTTAATGACAGATTTTCAAAGTATTAAAAGTAATGAGGTACAGCTTTCCATAAAAGAAGCAGTGTGAACTGTTTGTCATGTGCCTGTCATGAATACTAACTCCCATGGACGAGGTGGTGTCTCTAGATCATGGCAGGTTTGTTTGCCAAGCTCACAGTTGTCTTTGGTTTGGGAACTTATTTTTGTCTTTATTGTTACTGATGTCCTCTAAGGAAGAACTGAAAGGAGGACTGAAAAAAGGGAAGAGAGCACTTTGTATAAGTGCCTTGTCTCTTTTTATAGTAGTGATAGTCTGTGGCAATGCCAGTGTGTTTGTCTGGATTCTCAACAGCACAGATGCTCCAGCTGCTTGGTTTATGTGGGATATGCTGTGTCAGCCTTGTCACTCATGTTCACGGCTTCCTTTAACTGAATGACAGTGTAGCAGTGATAGGACAGAGACAGAGAAAAATGTAAACTTTTGGGAAAGCTCAAAGCTTGAAAGAGCATCAGATCTTTTCCAGGGCAGAGCCTTGCCTGGAAGGAAGCAGGAGTACCTTCAGTCATTCTTTGCACTTGATAGAGATGAAAAAGGATGGAGGGGGATGTTGCATTGCCAATAGCAGGACCAGAAAGCACATATAGGGAGCGTGTGACAAGGCAATCTTGGATTCAGTTTCAATCTTTATTCTTTTTAACCATTTTTAGAGTATGGTGGTAAGTGGAAGCTGCTCCATTATTTTGCCCAGAACTTCTTTGCACCACTGCTGCCTGTGGCCTATGAAGACAAAGGGATGTTGCACATTTATGGTGTCTCAGATCTTCATGAGGACCACAAGGTGACTTTGAGGGTAAGTGGCACCTACCTCACCACTCTTGTGTGCCTCCTACAAAAATGTGAGAAGCTGAAACAAGCAGGTCCTTGTACAGACAAGCTTCAGAAAGGCCATGCTCAAACACTGTAAGATGCAACTCTAGTCTTTAATCTTAGGGACAACACTATTCTTTATTAAAGTAGTGTGTAGTGCTTCACAGAAGAAGGAATTGCTTTGCTTATAGCCTATAGGTATAAGGCTGAAATGAACTATTCTGTTGAAATCTTAAAGGGATTGATGGTTAAATAGAACAAAGTGTGAAAAATGGTACCTCTTACTTAACAAAACTCTTCCCTGGTGTTAGAACTAGATAACCTGATTAAGTAGTGGGGAAAAAAGGGATTGTACCATTGCTTACCAGTACTCAAACTATACAGCTTTGGGAAAAAGGACTGGATTGTCTTCTGAAATATGAACAGCACATCTTTAATTGGAAGGTCACCTATGCATGGCACCACTTTGCAATTGATGCCTTAACTGTTCTCTGATAATGCTATAGAAACTGATAGGATTATTAAGTCAGTATTTGGACTGCTGTGTTTTCTTGTAGACAGCAGTCTTCCTTTTCAGGTTGTTACATTTTGTTGCTATTAATCATATGGCAGCCAGACCCCAGATGAATTTAGGGACCATTTTCCACTATGAGATACAGCTCCTGACATAAAATATATCCCATGTGAAAACAGTGTGAAGGATGGAAAAACAGACCTTGAGACCTGGAATGACTCACTAGTAGTATGAGTGTCTCAGCTCCTAGATCATTGCTCTGTCTGGTGGGCTTCCATGAATTTTCAGATTTATAAGGTTGCTTATATGGAGTAAATTATGCTACAGAATATGGTTGCAATTTTTGGATAGTCAGTTCTTGGAGTAGGATTGCACTTAGTGAAATTGTTCATTTCTGGTCTGAGTTATTCTAACAGACATAAATTCAGATTTTCTGATAGCACCAGAGAAGTGTTGGCAGTAGAGTAGTTCTGATGAATACTGTATATTGCACTTCAAGAAGATTTGGAACTTAACTCTTGAAAGGAGTTAAGATCTATTCCTGACTGCACACTCCTGTTAAGGCTAAAACTAACCAAAAATTTATGAAACAGAATATTTTAATTCTCATTAAGTACTTAATTTCCAAATTATGCCCTTTTAAAAAGGGCATATTCATAATGCATGGAAGATGTCTGGGAATGTATTTTGCTATATTAATATACCCTTCATAATCCCTTTTAAGATGATGGAGCTTGCTTCTGTTTAAGAGTGATTAAGCAGAAACTCTAGTATACCCAGTTGGGTTACATCAGATAATGCTGAGCAATCTCATAAAAATCCTCTGAGTTTTTTTTAATTCAGGAAGGGAGGAAAAAGAGTCAACAAATTAGTCACTCAATAATTCCATTTCCAGCACTTCCTTGGTAGGAATTAACAATCTCTTCCTCTCAAGGAGCCTGGAGAAAAGAAAAAAGTCTTGCAGATCAAGAGCAGCTCCAGACTGTTTGAAATGGACCTCTTGTTAGGATTTTAGAATGATCTCATTTATATGCTGTATCTATTGTGTGGTTTCTTACTACCTGGTGCTGTCAGAAAAACATCTATTGTAATGAGCAATCTGAAATCTAGGATGCTGCATTGTTTTCAGAAATGTAGCCTTTCTTCTAAGCTTTGTGCTCTCTCAATGTGCTTGATAGGTCTCAGTGCACGCCTGGAGCTCTTTGGAGCCCGTGTGCACCCTTGCCAAAGAAGGTGTGACTGTTAAAGCACAGAGTGCTGTCCCCATCTACAAGGAGCCCATCTGTGACCTTCTGGGAAGATGCAGAAATTGTACCAGGGAAAGCTGTGTGATTACTTTCTGTCTCGTGGGAGAAGATGGGCTCCAGAGTCCTAGGAACCATTACTTCCTTTCATCACTCAAGGATGCTGTGGGATTAGAGAAGACCCAGCTTAGTGTAAGCATCAATCATGCTAAATTACTGTATTTGGTTTTGCTAATCCTACTGGTTTGGGTTGTTTGCTGGCTGTGCAGTGTCTGATTCCACTGAATGTTCTTTCTCCTTGGTTGTTGCTATTCTGGCTTCCAGGTTGCATTCAAAATCAGATTTTTTTCTGGTGTCACTATATGTGTATCTGAATAAGACTGCTGGGGGGGTTGTTTGTTTGTTCATGATTTTTTTGTCTGGGCTTTGTTCTGTTTTAAAGAATGAAATCTCCCTTTCATTTGTTTAGATTGTCCTCCCCCTTGCAGCATTGCTCCTTTCTTTCCTTTTGTCCCTAGACAGCAAATAGCATCATGACAAGTATTCTGGCTTGCAGACAGCACTATATGTCAGGTTGAGGTGATCCTAGTTTGGTTGAGTGTGGAGTGCATTATTGTCAGCAGTATTTCCTCTGGAGGTGCTCACACTCTCAGATCAGTGGAACATTGCTAACACACAAAATTGCAGCATTGCATTCTCCTTTCCTCCTCTTTCAAATCCCTGCCCTCCAGTAAGGGTTCTGATTTGCATAATAGTGATTATTCTGAATAGCTGGCAAGTGTGTCAGTCTCCTAAACAGGTAAAAAACCCATTAGTGTTGTATAACATTGCCATTTAGTCAATTTGCTCCTTTTTCCTAGATTTCTTCTGCTCCTAGCAAGCTTGCTGTATATATAGAGAGCTTGCATGCCCTGTGTGTGTGTGCACACGTGTTTTGTTAAACCTCACTTCTTAGCATGTACAGCTTATTGGAAAATTCCTAATCATCAGATGTGCAGGATGGGGACCTTTGTGTTCTCACATTTGGCTTTCAAACTGCAGCTTTGCTCTTTAGTGCTAAACTGAACAAGGAGGGAATAGAGGTCTAATCTCTTTGAATCTGGACCAGCATAATTGCTTTACAAAAAGAAAATGGGCCAGATTTTCTCTTCTTATCTCTTTCACAACAGCACAGCCTGCCTCCTGAGTGTACAAAGAAAAGAAATCAGCCTGTTTTAATTTTTTTTTTCATCTGGTGGTACAATCTGCAGTCTGAGTCATGCTGTGGGGAGGTTTTTTGTTTGTTTTGGTTTGGTTTTTTGGTTTATGGATGATATCATCAATAAGAAAAGTTCTGCAACTGGAGCATTTTTGGAAAATTTCATTCCTTTATCTTGTAATGGTGTTGTCTTTGCAATACTAACTAATAAGGATAGCGAGCAAGGATAAATGCAAAGTGGTCATTTTAAGAAATGCAGCTGTGATTAAAAAAATGACTGTGTATGTCTATACTTAGTTACTAATTAACTAACTAGGCTTTCAAGTACATTGCTAATCCAAGAGCTACAGTTCCTAGCATTGCTTTTAAAAAGCATCAAAAGCATTAGTATTACTTCAAGAAACAAAATGTGTAGAGGATGTGTGCTTTTTCTTAAAAATGAATAGCATTGCTTTTCTTGTAAGCAGAACATGATGCCTGTACTGGCTGTAATTTGTCTTCTTTTTATAGATGGTTAACTGGTATTTGAAAGTTATGTAGCATAATCTTTCATTGTGGTGAATGGGGAGTGCTGCATGAAAATGCATCCTGGCTGGGATTTAAGGTCTCTCTGAGATTTAAGAGCTGATAGAACTTAATACAAAACATTATACCTTGACCTTACATTTTACAATTTTTTTGTAATATATAACTAAATTAAGTATGAGGGCTTCACTGCCATGATGCATTAAGATGAGATGTCTTTCTGTCTTACTGGGATTTTTACCATCTTTGGCTTTTGTGTATTTCTATTCTGTATATAATTGAAAGGCAAGCTCTTTTAGCAGATGAGAACTGGTAAGTTGAGCGAAGTGTTGGTGAAAGGACAAATGTCTTTCACTGCAGTAAGTACAGGATACCAGTACTATGTAGAACTCAGATTATCATTTACTCAGTTATTCTCATAAGAAGATGGCAAAGTGATAATACTTCTTGGCATTTTTCCAGTCTATAGTATTCTGTAGGAAGGCTCTAGTTACATTTGCAGTTTTTAAATGATTCTTAGATATGAAGAATACTACTTTTGATGAGATGTGATTGTTCAGCCTACTAGTATGCAGGTCTTTCCCAGTTTGGGTGTAACTGGAGTCTTCTTTGACATGTATTTTTTTAATAATACATATTTTTTATTTCTCTTTCAGGCCTCTGTGTCCCAACAAGATGGCATTTATATATTTGTTCTTCAGACCACTGCAATTGCTCCTTTTGTTACTTTGGATGTAGGGAGTATAAAAGGCAGATTTAGTGATAATGGTTTCCTTATGACTGAAAAGAAGAAAACAGTTGTGTTTTATCCTTGGGAACCTACTAGTGTTGAAAAGCTAAAAAGTTCACTAATTTTGACCTCTCTACTGGATGTTGTCTGAGAATACTTCATTTCATTCTAGATAAAGAGTGAAACAGGAGGAGAAATAAAAATTAGAAGAATTTGATTGAAGCTCTGAAGTGACGTGCACTTTAAACTGGCTAAAAAATATATTGTGTCTTCCTGTCTTGTGAATTGTAACTGCTGGTTCATTGTAAAGATACCAACAGCAAAGCTTACATATAATATATGTGGTGTATTGAAAACACATCCATATTTTTTTCTAGTTTCACTATGCTGTAAGTGGAAGTTCAGTTTAGGATACCAGCAAGGTGTATGCTGAGAGCAAGGGAGAAGGATAGGGAGTGAAGCTGGGACTGCCTCCAGCCACTCCATGGGCAGGTTGCTAAACATTTGGCTTGTCTGTCAGCCTTGGTTTGGAATGCAGCTGGGGTCTTGCTGGTGTTCCACAAGGATCCTCTGTCCACCCAAGCAAATATTAATTTTCTTGCAAAGCAGAATCAGCATGGCAGTAGGTGGAGTTTGAAGGAGCTCTGGCACTGAAGTCCATCGCTGATGTAAAAGCAGCACGAGGGCATTGCTCAGTGGTGGTGTGGGGGTCTGGGGCACGTGTGGGGCAGCAGCTCTGTGTTCCACTGGAGAACTCAGACTCAGTTGAGTTGTGATCACAGCTTTAATGAGCATGTTGATACTTTGGTGTTAACCAAAGCTGACATACTCCTGAGCGAGAGGAAAAACTTACAGATGAAAGGGAAATGATTAATGAGAGTTTCTTACAGATGCTTTATTGGGTCACCAAAACAACTAACTGCAGTTGCATCTGGTTCAAAACAAGTCCTAGTTAAAAGAAAACATGAAAACAATCAAAATATGGATGTGTATGTGCCAGTGTTAATAGATTTTGTAAAATAGATAGGGAAATTGACAGTCATGAGTAAAACTTAACAAATGCAGGCGCTGACAAAGGAAATGAAAAAGCTGTTCTGAGAGGCATCATGGGCCAACAATACCAGAAAAATCCTCCAGCTTTTTGGTGTCCTGGAATCAAGGTGGAATCAAAGCATAAGGTAAGAAAGTCAATATAAGGTAAGAAAGAACAAATGTAGAGAAAATATGATTCATATATACTGCTGCAGTGTATTAGGAAGAGGGCAAGTCTGTTGATGTCTTTCTTTTACATTGATGGAGAAATGTCTCTTCTAGCAACATCTAGATAGAATTTCAAAATGGCACTTAAAAGTGTTAAATAAATAAAACTTTGGAGGAATCACTTGTTTAGAGACAATCAAGAGACCTATCTGGAGGTCAGTGATATTTGTTCATCTCAGCAAATGAGTGAAGCTTAAGATATGTAGAAAAACTTTTGGATTGCTAGAAGCAAAACTCATTCATTAATTATTAATTTGCATAACTGTGACCTCATCTAGCCTGTCACAATTTTTAGGCAAAGTCTTGAAAAGAAATGATGTGGTACATGATAAATAAGTGATGAAGTGGCTATGCAAATAAAGTCTACCAGCACAGTTAAACATAACAGCATTCTATTATTTTTTTTCCCTGTTGCTTTCTGCAGTTACCAGATTGACATAGCAAGGTTTGGGATATTTTAAAAATTATTGCTGTTTTTGAAGGTCAGGAGCTCCCTAAGTAGTAGGTCCATTCTTTCTCAATGAAAATCTTTAATTCAGCACTAGGTGCCATTGTGAAAGATTAGCAATTGCTTAAGCCAAATGCTTGAACTCTAACCAGAATTTAAAGGGGAAGGTTGACTTCCATTATTGTTTTAATATCCTTAATATGTTCTTTTGGTTTCCTGGTGTTGTAGTAGGTGTGTGTTTATAGAAGCTGTTCTCTCACCGTGCAGCAGTGGCTGTAAGGTGTGCTTTGGTTAACCATTGTTACTTTGGCAGTGCCATCCTGTGCTGTATTGGTTACATTGTTCTGCCTTAGTCTCAGATCTGGGCAGAGATAGGAAGGCAGCACTGGTAGCCTGCACTCCTGTCAACACATCCATCTTGCCAGCTGGGTGTTGTTAGAGCTGCAGCAGCTGTAACCTGTATTGCCAGTTCTGTCTGATGGGGTTTGGCAGCCGGAGCCCTAGGACAGCATTTGGTAGCTGTGCTGCTTGTCCTCAGTGTCATTGCAGTATTGGTGGCAGCAGCAGAGGGGACTGGCCCTGTCAGTGTTCCTTCAGGGCACTTCCTTGCTATGTCTTGTTAAGGACCAGGGAATTCTCTTGTGCTCATGGCCTTTGTTTGCTCCTGGGCCCCTCTGGGCTGTTCTCCACTGATGGCAAAAGCAGCAGCCAGAGTGCCCCACAGCCATGACAAATGCCCTTCCAGAACAGAACTTGAGAGCAGGTTTGGGAAGAACACTGTATGGTGTTGGCTAATCTGTTGTCCTAAAACCATTCTCTGGCTGGGATTTAGCTGTGAACACATTCTGGGCTTGCAGAGGCCGTTTTGAGCTTTGGAGCGCAGCTGTTTGTACTTCCTGCCACACAAGGAAGACTTATTTTCCTCCAGTTTACTGGAGCGTGTCCTTGGAAGCTTTTTCAAGTTCTGCATTTTCTCCAAGAAAGAAGCATGCAAATGTATCTAAAAATTGCTTTCTAAGTAAGTGTTCATAGTTCATAGTTGGTGTTTCTTGTTACCTGCTGTTTGCATACCTTGTGGTCTGGACAAATATTCTGCCTCAGAAGCACATCTTTCTCAGTACTTCTGTTAGTTAGTTCCCTTTTGGTTTTGGAGATGTGTAGCAGAGACCTTTTCATTAACTTGAACCAGTGTCAGGAGCAGAGAGATGGGCCAGTGAGTTTCTTATTTTCAGTACAGGAGAGCTGGGGTTTGAAGCTTACAAGCCAGCCTTTTTATTGTCAGAATCACTGTTTTCTTTCTTACCCACTTAGGGTACCAGGAATTCATGGTTTGAAGTTTTTAGGACAGGTTTCAGTCCAAGAGTTGTGTTTACATAACCTTGCTTTCCAGTCAGATATTACAAGGTAGCAAAACAAAACCCCCAAATTAATTCAATTAGTGTGGAAAACCAAAACTTAAATGAAAAAAGGTCATCTCTGTAAGAAGTAGTCAGTCAGCAGAGACCTATAATACCTGAACTAGTGCTCTTCTGCATTGTGCATATGGCAAGGGTGACTGGATGGCTAAAAAATTCTATAGAAGTTTGATTTAAATGAGGCCATGGAAAAACATACTCCAGCCTGGGTCTAAGTGGGACATGAGGCTGCTTCATAATGCTGAAAGCAGGAAATCAACTCCTTGGTAATTAACTTGTGTTGTCTTTTCCTGTAGGAGTCTTTTGGAGCCTGCAAAGGTTTGGACTGACCACTGGCCATTACTCTAGAACTGCTTTATTTCAAGGCATGATCACCCAGAAACACGAGAAGCTGTGGATGGTGGGTGAGTATTGACCATAAACTGGCAAATGGGCACCAGCATTCCTGTCACTTTACTTGGGGAAGCAAGAAGAGTGGCTCTTTTTTCTTAAATGTGTGAAAAAAGCATTTTACTTTCCAGGCAAGGGAGAAAAGACAGTTCATACACCACTTCATGTAGGTAAGATTCTTATCCTCCTGCAGTGCATAGAATCTCAGAATGCTGCCTAGGTCTTCCAGTGATTTCCAAATTTGTACATACATGCCAAGATGATGCCAGGAAACATACAACTGTAGCAGCTAATCTAAAATCAAGGGCAGTTGAACTTTCTGAGTCATTCATTTCATATCAAATGCAGAGAACATCTGAAGAGATCTGTTGTTACAACTTTTGCTGCTTTCAACAATTTTCTGTTTATTACTGCAGCAGAGTAGCAGAATAACAGAGCGAGCTCTATTCCACTGCACATACAGATTAAGTTTGGAGGTTTCTCTCTATAAGCCAGGTGTAAACAGATGTGCTCAGCAACAATTTTCTATCTCTAAAAAAAGGGGAAAAAAACCAAAAAAGATTGAAGTATTTTTTATCAAATACAATGAAACTGAGAAGCTGCCAGGCTGCTATTTAAAAGCACTTCCATACATAGGGCCTAGGGGACCTGCTGTGCATGATCACTAACCTGATAAACAGCTATTATGCAACATCTGGTCACAAAATGCTTTAAGGAAATACAGATCCAGGTGTCTCCTGGTGGTTTAAAAGCAGAGCTGGTCAGAACTAAAGCTAAAAGTGGTGCATAACAGCCAGGGTGCCCTGGTGACCTGCAGCATTGCAGAAACCTCAGTAAAAATCTCCGCCAGCCCCCTGAGCTGTGCTGGAAATCCTTTGGAAGCAGAAGGTGTGTTTTACTTGAACAGCAGCTCTCCTGGGGCCCAAAAAGCCCCTCCACTTGTGGAAATAGAAGAACTTTTGCCTGTTTCTATTAGAGCTGGAATACAAAGAGAACACTGGAGAAGTACATTAATTGAACAAAAATCTATATGCCTTAGACACTGCCTGGATGATTATACATACAAGAACTGAAAGAACGAATGAATGGCACTCTTTCTTCTTTTCTGGAAGTAATTAACATTCTCAGTAATTCAGCCGGATTATAAAATAAATTCACAAATTTTTTTCGTTACTCATCATTTAACTGATTACAGCAGCTACCACTCTAAACATAACCATTTTCAAGGTTTATTTTGATTCATTTTCTCAGGAGTGACACCCAGGTTACTGAAGACTGAGCTGAGCCAAGAACCACCCTGTCAACACTCCTTCTTTGTGCCAAAAAAGTTGGCTAGAGGTAAGTGACAGTGGTACAGTGCCCCTCCTGTTTTTTTTTTATCACGAACTCTGATGCCTGTTCTGTTTAGTTGTGCCAACATCAATAACAGGACACTCACCATCTCAGAATTGATGTCAGACAAGAAGAAACACTGCTCATGAGCACAGTTACTACAGGAGATTCTAGATAGCCCAAAGGAGAGCTGTCTCATCAGAAATTTGCTGAAACACTATGTTGGTTTCAGTGTAAATGATTCTCTGCTGCCATAATAAGGAGAACTAAAACAAGGAAGAGGCCTTAATCTCAAAGTACAGATGCTCAGCAGTAGCTGATAGTCCTGCTCTCCTCCATAAAAGATACTTTAGGCTTAAGACAGGTGGCTTGCAACCTTTCATTTTAGTGCTTGGAAATCAGCATGATCTTGTATCGATGCCTAAAATAGAGATGCTAAATCTTCAATACCTCTGCTTGCAAAGTAATGTAAGAATCACAGCAGGCACAGACAGGAGCATTAATTTTGGGGTTTTATTATAAAAGTAAAATAAAAATAAGCATTTAAAAAGCACGCTTTTCCAAAAAGGAACAGATATAAAAAAAAACTATTTACAAGTAGGAAAATGCCAAACTTGAAAAAATTTTGAATAAGAGGCACCAAAGTTAAGTTTAAATACATTATTTGAAATATACAAGATTCTTTTAGGATTCTCTTTTTTCGCTAAGTTGTCTCTGTTGTGATTAAAGTAATGATTTTTCTTTGCCAGCTATTTTATAAGCTGTTTGCATGCAACTGTGCTGCAATAATTATGAAGAGAGCAGCTAGAAACTGTATCCTCTGATTGTTCCTGTGCTTAACCTCTTTAGTAAGTTTGTATTATGCATTAACAACTTCTTTTTCATTTGTAAAAGAAAATCCTCACAGACCAGGGAAGTTCAGTAAGTCTTTGACAACATCCAGACCTCTGTATTAATGCAGCAGTGGAGCCCTGGTTGTTGTAAATGGCTTGTAAATGAACACAATTAAATGTACTTGAGGAAGGAAGCAGTGCCTAGAAGTCACACGCTGCAGTTGCCATTTGTTTGGGTTCAGGTGAGATTCTTCCAGTGTACTTTTGGTTGTGAGTTCCCTTCCCTCTGGCCAGGATGACACTGACGTAATTTGAAATGTCCCATTTCTTCCTGTAACTGAAGATCACTAGTCAGCTATGTAATTGCTTTGCCCTGAGCTTTGATGTCCACAGCCCAGGGCCATTTTGCCAAGTGTTAGTGAGGACTTGCTGCTCAGAGAGTCTGAATAGGTGAAGCTCAGCTTGCGGAAGGAGGTCTCCACACCACTGTCACACACACTTTCAGGGTCTTGGAATCTGCTGTTGTAGAGCTCACCTGAGGGACAGAGCAAAGGGAAACATCATTTGTGTGGCCTGAGCAAGGTTGCTTTGAGAAAAGCCTAAGGCATATAAACCAACAGGGTCAAGCTCTTCAATAGGAAAATAGGTCTAACATGAGGTATTGTAATAGGAAAAGCTGTACTGACTGTTTCCAGGCCACCAAAGCATGTGCTCTGATGTACTGCTGGCAGAGATCAGCTTGCAGTTGGAGATTGGATGAGATGAGAAGCCTGGTGCTCTACTGACACTAATGCTGTCACTGCAGTTGGGTCAGGACTCTGCCCAACTGTGGTGATCACAGGGCAAAAGGCTCTCTGGTTCTCAGAGTCACACTCTGTGCAAGTGTGCAACTCCAGGATGAGGCTCCTAAAACTTCTAATTCATGTTATTTCAACTTACAGATTTCTTTTTGAGAGCTTTCATCTAGTAAGTGACCCCAAAATAGGAACAAGTCAGTAGCATTCATCACCGGGGCAGGATCCACAGGAGTGCCTGACTGTAAGCTGGAACTGAAGGTACCATGTGGGATCGGTGTGGCTAAAACAGTGCTGGTACCTTAAGAGTTCAGTCTTGTTCTTCTAAGCAAACATCTTAAACTGTGAGATGCCCTCTGTGTTGCAGAAGGAGCAGAACCCCTCTTACCCTTCAAGATGAATCTAAAGGGACAGTATGTGTACAAGCACATTTTCGGGTGGGTGTGAAGGTTTATTCCATGACTGACCAAAGAGTTTTCTATAGAGAATAAACTGGCAATGTTAGATTGGAATGGAGTGATGTGGTGTTTCTTTTTTCTTACTAGAAATACCTACAATGTTTTTACACAGGGTGTAAGTTTCCACATTTGGCTACAGGCAGCACTACCAGTGTTTGAACAGGAAAAAACAAACATTTTTGTTACTAAACCTGGCCAGACAATGACTGAACAGCCCTGATAGCAAACTTCTCACAATCTCTCTTCTTTAGAAGAGTTCCCTTCCCAAAACCACTGTAGAACCTCTGTCATGGAAGGTGCTCAGAACTCAACTGGACATAACATGGGCAATCTCTTGTCATGCTCCACTGGCCCTGCTCTGAGCAGATGGTTGGCCAGCAGGACTCCTCGAGGTCCTGTGCAACCTAAGCCAGCCCCAGCTTCTTTGCCTACAGAACACTGGGCCATTTTTGAGTGCTACACATTGTGGAAGGAGAAATTTAATACTGAAGTCTTGCCAAAAAGTTTAGGAGCCCAAAATATTTTTGTTTATCCAGCTGTGGGGCGGGGGGAAGTCAAAAGCAGAGATAAATGCATATTCCCAGTACATCCAAGGCATTACCATTAGCAAATGGCAGTTATCTGGTTTTAGCAAAGGGCAGCAGTAGAATGAATGCTGTCATGCAGGCATGCTGATTCAAGTGATTAATTTTTCCTCTCTCTTCTATGTCTAGCAGATATCTATGATGACAGGAGTCACACTGCAGTAAAGTATTTCTGGAACCAGTAAGCAGGTGAAGCAGTGTGTGCAAGGTGTGCAATCCTAACAGTCCTAGATAGAGCGGAGAGGGAAAACTGAAAAAAAACCTTAAATAAAGCTGTTCATATTTTACTCTCAGTTTTACCTGTCTCTCCATTTGCAAAGGTGAGTGGTGATGATAATGGAAGAGCTTTTGCTGTGCTGTCCTCCAGGGGAGGCGGTCTGCGTGAGATGGACAGTGCTTCCTGAATTATTTCTATGGCTTCTGTGTGATCCATCTGTCTCAAAGCAGCGATCAGCTCTTGAACTGTACCACCAGACACCTGAAAGAGCAGACATCAGACACTCAGCATGACCAGGCTGGCTAAAACTGCAGGGCTGCAGTGTCTCACTGTGCGGGAGAACAAGGCTCTCTACGTGTATCAATGTTCTTTATAACCTGTTACAGCACATTACCTCATAGTTATCCAGCAGGGTCTTCGATGGGGAAGGGCTCAACCTGAAGGCATTATTAAGTATGCCAAGACCCAGTTTTTGTGCTAGGGTGGACCAGTTTTTGGTTGGATCAGGCAATTCCAATAGTTTGTAAAGCTGCATCTTGGAATTCTCATTCAGCTCTCTCAAGTGTCCTGGGGAACAGAGAAATACGTTAGTTTATAATTTATACAAAACATGCACCAGTTCGTTTTTAAGCAGAAACAAAGCCAAACTGAGAGTTCAATCCCAGCATTTACAAATGTATTGCTGCAGTACTGCAAATGTATTCCTTGTCCTGGAGACATCTTAAGGGGATCATGCTCATTGTATGAGTGAGGGGGTGGGAGGGCACATCATCTCTCTCAGCAGCTCAGTTACAAGCAGGGCAATGTCTTCTGCCACTACTCTTTCAGTACTCAATTACTAGAGGGATATTGTCAAGTCTTTATAGGTGTTACCTTGTGTGAGTAAGTCCTCCAGAACCTCTGCTGACTCGTAGGGTTTGCCATTTAATATGTCATACACCTAAGAGAATACATTAAAGTCAGTATTTAGAAGAAATGGGGTTAGTGTCCATTAAGTCACAGCAGTCTTGTATAAAATTCCATCTGTAATCAGCATTCTTTTTCTCTCCCAGGCTCAGTATGACTAAGGATACTGTACAAAACCTGTCCTGAACTTTAGGGAGAAATCTTGAGAAGTTAATCTTCCTTTATTTTAAGCTGTGTCATCTGGCAATTATTTCCAAGACACAGAGGAAGTCTTGGCAGTAAATAAATGGCAGTAGCAGAGACTAGGCAAGGAGCAGCTGCCTGCTGCTGCAACCAGTCATTTAAAACAAAGCCTGGGTTAGATTTTCACCTAAGCTTGGTACCACTCCCCAGCTCCAGATGAGCAGAGATGCTGACTGCTTATCCTTTACATTCACACCAAGCCACACGCACAATAATCAGCTCAGTCACTGTTTGGGTAGAACACAGGAGTGCATTTTCCCACCTCACACAGGCTGCAGTTCTGAACAACACTCAGCAAAGAAACCCCTTGGAGAATGGGCCTTCAAACACAAGCTGCCCACACAGGTAAATACTTTCCCACACTGAAGACTCTAGAGCAACTGCTTTCAAGAACTGCCTGGTCATTTCTGTTCAGCAGCCTTAGTTCAGTGGAGCTTTCTTCCAATGCTGTTTCATCAGGGGAGTTTTATGACTGAATTAGCCTAATTTTTGATGGCAAATTCATTGAACTAATTGCAATAATTTTGGATGCAATGAAAGGAGCTGGCTGAGAGAGCTGAACTATCCTTTATAATTAGAAAAAAAAAAACCAACAAAAAGCTAAAAGAGAAAACAGACCACATACCTCACACGTGGCTGCCATATCCAATGGTGTTGTTCCAGGCACAATCCCTTCATCATCATCTTCATCTTTCACATAGTCTAGATCAAACAATGGCTCAAAGTTCTCAATGTGAGGATTGGCACCTGAAAAACAAGGAGGGGGGTGGGAAAAGGGCTTCAAGTTGCTTCTCAATAATATTTAAAATATGTTTTCTATGTACTGAATGGCAAATCAGCGAATTTACTCCAGGTGAATGATACTTTATAGTAAGCTAGCAAGTGGCTCTTTTTTCAGTTACATTTAAATGCTGTCACATCTCTGTACAATGCTACTCTCCATTATAAAGAGGGAAAAAAACTAAGCTGAGCCTTAGGGCCCAGAGAAAGAGCTCTGGTTGTATCAACTGACTCCCAGTCCCATGTTGCCTCACACAGCACAGCATGTATGTGATGAAGGGATGGTGTGGTGCTGCTTTTTAGTGTCAGAGAAAGTGAGGGTGTTTTTAAAAGACCAAGCAGGCAGTGGGAGGCTTGGGTTTCTGTTTCAAAGGAGAAAAACTAAGTTTAAGTACAATTGACAAAATGTTCCAGTAAATACTCCAACCTAATTCTTCCCAAGTGACAACAGTAGGAGACACTACAAGCTCATGCTTCAGTGATGGTATTTTTTTTTGGCTTTTTCTTTCTAAAGCAGTCCAACACTTATCCCAGATACATAAAAAGATCTCTTCTCTGCTTCTTCAGCTATAAAAGCTACAAAAGATACTCAAGAAACTTCCCAAAGTCCTCTCCAGAATTTTTTGGACCAACATAGTTTGCCTTTCCAGCCATTAGATGGTGCTGAAGAGTGATTAGTATAGCACCTCAGAGCAGGACTTTCTGAGGAAATTCAGACCTTCTTGATTTAACACCTGACTTCCTCCACATTTAAACAAGTTCATTCTGCTTTGCAGCCTTTTAACTTGAATTGTCACTGTGAAAGAGAAGTCTCCAGCAAAGATATATTTCCATACCTGCTGCTTTGAGAACTGCTGCCAATTTTGTGGAGCCCCTTCCAGCTGCTATGTGAAGTGGAGTTGTCCCATCATATGTTGTGCTGTCCACATCTGCATCACCCTAAGGTTTTGTTGAATGGCAAAAAAGAAAAAAAATCTGTACAATGCAGCTGCAGAGGCTCATGTCAGCATTAACACTGCTACTGTGCAAGTAAGCACCATTCTGTGTCTGGTAGCATAAAAACTAACTGTTGCCTGAAAAGAAGGAGTTAGAAAGGAACCACAACTGTCTACATGCATAGAGTGGTAGTGTGCTCCAGTGTTAGAGCAGGAGGCACAGGGTGTAGCTCCAGATAGGTCAGGTAGATAAAAGCCACTCTGCATCCCCTGTAAAACTTCTGCCATCTGCTTGCCCATGGCCTTTGGAGTGGGAGTGGTGTGCAGAGAATCCTGCCCTCCTGCTGCTCATCAGAACAGCCAGGCTGGTGGCACATCCATGCCTGAGCACAGAGGAAAGCTACACAGCCAGCTGGGGTGTGTAGAATTACGATACCAGGATCAAGGTGTTATGATGAGATAAATATTTACAGATTACACAACTACATCTCTCTGCACAACTCTATACCTGTTCTACTTCAGACAGAAGAAGGGATGAACTTGTTCATGGTAACTTCAGTGCCTGCCAGCCTTACTCAGTGCAAATTATACATGGCATATGCAGTCAGGCTAGGGTCACAAACTCTAAATTCTCAACTTGGGCAAAAGCTTCACCAGCAGTGCTGAACAAAACAGTAACATTATCAGTAACTTTGCCACTATACCAGTTCAAGTGATCTGGTCAATAAACAGGACCCTCTCCCCTTACTTCTGTCATTCTGAAGCATTCTGGGATTGTCAACAGCTTTTAAACATGTAATTGGAAAGACCTGGAAGAAAGAAATTCTGCCTTTACCTCAAGCAAAAGGCAGCCTGCCAAGGGGATGTTCTCTTGTTCAACAGCCAAATGCAATGCAGTTCGTCCAGATTTTTGTTCCTGAGCATTGACGTTAACTCCGGCAGCAATCAGCTGTTTGAGGCAGGACATGCTATTTGCCGTCACCACCATGTGAATTGCACTGAGACCTACACAAAACAAAACCCATCCCTCATCTGCATTAATATTGTAAAATTCAGAAATGTCAGAGTAATGAGTTTCAAAGTGAGAAAACTGTAAAATGAGTTACCGTAGTTATCTGAGCAGAAGTAACATATTTTGCCTGCTTATACACTAAAAGATGACCGAATCATAGAATTTTTAGGGTTGGAAAGGACTTCAAAGATCATCTAGTTGCACCCCACTCCTGCTGTGGGCAGGGACACCCTCCACCAGACCAAGCTGCTCAAAGACCCATCCCGGCCTTGAACCTACTTTCAGGAATGAGGCATCCACAACTTCTCTGGGCAACCTGTTCTGGTGTCTCATCATCCTCACAGTTCCATCCTCACAGTGAGGCATTTCTGTCTTAGATCTAATCTAAACCCACCCTCTGTCAGCTTAAAGCCACTTTCCCTTGTGCCATTCCTACGTGTCCTCATAAAACACCTCTCTCCAGCTTTCCTGTAGGTCCCCTTTAGGTACTGGAAGATGCTGTAAGGTCTCTTTGGAGCCTTTTCTTCTCCATTCTCAGCTCTCCCAGCCTGTCTGCAGAGGAGAGGTGTTACAGACCTGTGAACATCTTCATGCCCTCCTCTGGCCCTGCTCCAACAAGCCCATGTCCTTCTTATTTATGTTGGGGGCCCCAGACCCTAAGGGAGTATGCCAGGTGGAGGCTCAGGATGAAGTTAATGGTGTTAATAAATACGTTCTTTGTGCATAAATTGGAACTTGGAGAGTCAAAACCACGGAAGGAGAAAAAAATCAGATTACAAGGTGGAACAGAAGGCAGGAACTACAGAGCTCACCTAGAGCATCTTTTTGCCTCAAGAGAATAGCCTTAAAAAGAAAATCTGCATCTTGGTATCAAACAAGTAGGTACCCCACATTGGCCCCATCTGCCACTGAACATCTCTTCTAGAAAATGGTTTGGAGAGTAACTGGTATATTTTAGTATCGTCCTCCTGTAAGGTCACAGTGACCTGACACCTCAAGAATACCTGCACCAGAAAGATAGTAATAAAGCCGTTTTTAAAAAACCCAACCAACACCCAACCAAAAAAACCTCTCTTCCTGAAGAACTGAACACAGTTTTTTGAATCCACGACAACAATTTTAGGTCAGACATTTTACAATCTATTAGATCAGGAGTACTGGATTGAAGTCCCCTGCGCACTGAAAAATGGAAGAACTGTCTCTTTGTGGTTATTTTACAGGCTCTAATTCTGGATGGTCACCAAGTGCCAGATAGGAAACTCAATACTAGTGCAGAAACTATTTCTAAGGGGATTTCATTCACTGGGCAGGAGGAAACATTTTCTTCCGGGGGGATTTTTTAAAAAAACCAAGGGTGGCATAAGGAACAAGATGAACACAAGTGCTTGAGGTTCTGTGATATTGAAGAGAATGTACAGGGACAAAAATTCAAATCCATGCTGTGTCATGTGACCATTACCAATCTTCCTGTTCTGTATAACCAGAAAACTGACTTGCCTGTGTTCTCTCATCTGTGCCTGCAGGCATATTAAACCCAAGGGCAGCATATGCAAAATGGGGAAAGATGTTATTTTCAGGGTCTGTATCTACCTATGTAGCAGCACAGTGCTGGTAGTAATTGTGGTGTGTTTGTCTAGTAGGGAAGGGTATAACATAAGCCATTATCTTTCCATACCTTCAGCATTGGGGAGGTTGACCATGGGAGATACCTTCTCATGCCTGAGGAGTAGACTCAAAATCTTGTCATCTCCTTCAGTAGCAGCTAAATGTAGGACAGAATTGCCATGGCGATCCAGAAGGCTGACATCTGCTCCAGCCTTCAGCAAGTCTTCCACCACCTTTGCCTGCTTTGTGATTACTGCCAGGTGCAGGGGGGTCTGCAAGTGACAGAAGCAAGCCATAAGAAGATAAAGCTATATCACTTGTACAGAAATCTCTGAAACCCATAAAAGCTCCTAGTGTGAGAGGATTGCACACATATGCAAGATTTTAGTTGGCTTTGGAGTGGTGTAGCTTCTTCTCTACTGAATACTACAAATAGGGTTTCTACGTACTGGAAATAAAAGCTGCCATGCCAATGTCAGCCGCTGGACTTCGGGAGGAACAAAGATGCTGCCTGCTCTATAAGCCAGGGCACTGACCTGGCTATTTGAGCATTGCAGTGCAAGGCACCTGGGAAATGAGATCATCCCTGTGCCCCCCACACACTGCAAGCCTGTTGCTATGGCTGCCCCATCACCAAGTTCATGCCACAGTGGAAGCACACGTGCTTTCCAGGCCTACTCAAGTCCTTCAGCAATGAACCATGCTTTCATGTTGCTCCTGAATCAGAGATTTGCAGCCATGGGCATAGGAGTTCCTTATGGCTGCACAGAATAGAAGAACATCCTGCAGGCTCTGTGCACTTGTCAAACTGCAGAACAATTGTGCATTTATGCCATCTGTGTTGAACTAACTGATCCCATTTGCACATTCCCCATTTCTGTGCACCTGCAGCCCTGAGCAGTGCTCAGGCTGAGAGGTTTTGGGACCTTCCAGAGGTTGGTTGCATACTGCATTCTTGTCAGTTCTGAGCAGCATCACACTGAACATACATATGCATGTATTTAAACAGTAAGCATTCTAATGAGGTCTGGAAAATAGTAATTCCAATACTAAAATAATTTAAAAATTGAGTAAGATTCCATATGTAGATTACCTTGACAGAGGACTTCAAAAATAAAGACTAATTCCAGCTCTGCACAATAAGCTTGTGTTTGTCAATACATCTGTCAACACATTTGCAATTAATTACTGCATCTGTAAAGTATATGTCAACTCTCAGAATATCTGCAGAGAAGGAAAACTCTAGCCCAGGCCTACATTCTATTCTGTCAATGGCTTAAGGTTTAAGTTGAAGGTAGGGAGAAGAGCTGCAGAGGTTCTGTATTTATCAGGGATCAGGTCAGGGATTTATTTCCAGTGTAGAGCCCAGCTTTGCTTCCTGTTCTGTTAAGCACAGGGCACAGAATGCAATTCAGAATCTTCTGCTTACTTTCAGCAGCCTCCACATTTCAAACTTTCTTTATAAGAATATAAAAATGTGAAGGAAAACAAGTCAAAATAAACCTCCTGGAACTACCTGTACAGAATTAAAACCTGCCTTTACTGTTCACAGCGGAAGCAAATGACACAAGTGTCAGAGTGCTGCTCAATGGCATGCACAATCTCTTTATAAGAGATTCTTTTCCAGGCAAGTTCCCATAGCTCTTTTCAGAACTTGAATTACAATGCAAACAGGCCAGACTATAGCTGAGGAGACAGAACTGTGCCTGCCAGTTGTTTCCCTCCTAGGCTAAAGACAAGAGGATGGGCTTTTCTCAGTTACTGCAGAAATGAAAGGGAAATCTTGGTGCTCACGTGATGGGCACAAATACAGTCTGGGCTGTAGGAATGGCAGAGATTATTATGGCTTCCACACGTGCCTACAGATAACTGATGATGCAGGAACTGACTCATGATCCCAAGTTAAGCAGTGTCAGAAAGGTCAGAGGAGTCCAGAGCTGGCACACTGTAATCCACACCCCTCTGGTTTAGTGACAGAGAAGCCAAATAGTGAAGCCATGAACTGAAGAATTTACTCTTTTTGGCCTGTTCCACAGTTAGCACATGGAGAAACTTCTGTTACCATCAAGAGAATTATGGACTAAACCAGTGACAACATGCTCTCTTTCCTCCACAACCTTTCAGTATATCCTTGTTTCTAAACTTGTTTGCATCAGTCTGATCTCTTCCCACAGATAGCAAGTTGTGCAATTTCTTTTTTACTGGCTAAACAATCAGCAACACTTATACCCCCACAACTGCTCACCTGATAGAGGTCATTTCTCATGTTAATGATGTCATTGTAATTCAAACGGGGCATCACTTCCAAGAGGTTTTTCACCAGCTCAGTATGAAGGTGGATAATTGCTAAATGAAGGACACTGAAACAAAAACAAAAAACAGATTAACAAATTTACACTGTTTTCAAACTTATTACAAAAGTTTCAAGGCTTTGCTGTAGATCTGAATGCATTCTGATATAAACACTTGACTATTAGAGATAATGATTCCAACACTACATATCAAGACCTAAAATGAATCCCAACACTGAAACGAAAAGGTCAGAAGGTAACTGTTTAACCCCTCGATCACCAAAGCAAACTCAGGATGGCTTTTGCTGGCCCTCAGCATTACTTAACTACTAGGCTAATATAAAAAATGTGTGGCACAAAAGAATTATTTCAGAAATCCTCAGATTCTCTGCTGGTTTGCTGTTTTTTTCAAATTTGGAATTATGCAGCAGATAAATACTTTTTACTGTGAAAACCTTCCTGCAGAATTTCCACAAGCCTCTGTGCTACCAAAGCAGATTTTCCCTTACGGGTTTCCCCAGATCTGTGGGTTTTTCTTCATTTTATTTTCAAACAGAAAAATGACTAAGGACTCAGGCCCAGTGACTAACAACCACAGGATTTGCAACAGTGGCCAGAGGCATCATGCCAAATAAGCACCTGTTTTGAGACACGAGTGACTGCACAGCAAGTCACTTCTACTGGGTTAATGCAATGGCCCTTCCTGTGCTCTTCTCCAGAGACAGGTCCCTCACTGCCAGTGGGGGCTGGACGTGCTACACGGCACCAGGAAAAGGCAGGTTATCAATCCGTGACTCCTGGCCCACACAGCTCCATTTGCCTTGCTACCTTAGGACTTCATTTGAAAATCATGCCCTTTGTTTTGGAACATACCCTGCCAAGCCCTTCATTGGCACACCTTCTAGACTCATCTTTGAGCAAGCTGCTGCTGACACAAAATATCAGCACAGGACATGTGGTGTGTCTGTTACGCCACTCCAGAAACACCTGAACTGTCTCAGATTTACACTTTTGTCAGAAAAATAAAAAGGAAGTTCCATGCCATTCAGGGCAAGGAGTCATCCAGAAATTGAGACAGAACAGTCAAAACCAGAAGATATTTTTTAAAATAAGAAAAGAAATTTAAATTTTTCCTTTAAAACAGGAAAAGAAATTTACAAACCAAACTTATCCTTAAAGGGCATTTCTTGTTGATTCTATATACTGCTGCTGGAAGTATCACGCACCTTCCCTCCTTCAGCTCCCCTGTGATCTACAAACAGTCTCACCATTACTGGAAAAGTGCTGTTCCTCTGCTCTGACAGATGCTTTTCACCCTGCTCTGAATCATGCTGACATTTTATTTCCAAATCTCCAAACACATTTGTTCTTCCACTTTTGTTCTCATTTCAGCAGCAAGTATTTTAATTTTACCCTACCATTATACATGATGCTGCTGACTAGACCACAAAAGGTCAGTTCCATTTCTTAAACATTCCTGCATGAAAAGATGCATTTGAGCACCGCTGTAGAGCCATCAGATATCTACAGAGCAATGGTACTGGTATAAGTACAGTCACGGCCAGTGTCACTGAGTGTCCACTGTAAATATACACTAATCACAGATTTCTGGGTTCTGTCTCAAGGCCATAAATTGTTGACAGCCAAGTTTTCTAAAAGGCTTAATCAAAAACTTTCTAGTTGCCATATAATTTTAATTATTAAAGTGTAAACCAGGGCAATTTATTAATTAATTTTGACCTTTTTCTTCTCCCCCAAGAGAGCTGGAAGACAATCACCAAAGCTTTGCTTTATCAAAAAATTGTGAAGTAATACAGATATGTACTATGCTCACAGAATAAATCCATCTCAGGAGAAAGGCAATGTGAACTTGAGCCTCACATACTTGCAGGTATTTCTTGATTCAGCAAGAAAACAACTATTTATTATAATTCTAAAAAGTATTTTAACTTAGTTAAAATGCCCTGCAAGTCCAAATTGGAGGAGCACCTTTTTGGTATTTAAATGCAGGCCCTACTTGCTCAATACTCCTCTAAGTCCCCCCTTTTTTTTCTTAAACACAGAAGCTGTACTGTCCATAGCACTTGTAGATTTTGTTGCTAGGTCCCACCTCCTTCATGTTCCTGCTTATCTCAAAGCAGACATTAGGTTTCCAGTTGGAAAGCAAAGCTTGTAAAGTAGCTCTCTCTGATTGTGCAGTCCTCTTTCTGTAATCTGAAGCCTATTTTCACTGAAAATGGAGTGAAAGTTGTAGCCTTTCTCAGAGTAATTGAACAGTGGGATACAGGTCTCAGTCACTTGAGATCTTCCTTCCAGCTAGACACCTTGAGGCTTAGCTGGCTTCTAAAAGTGATGAAAACACTACAATTTAAGGACATGTAGGTGATTGCACACGGCCTGCCAGCTAAAAAGTAAGGACGTGATAGTGTCACTTGCTTATGCAAGAGATTATCTTTGCATTTGTTCAGAGCCCTTTTGCTGAATTTTGTTTTAAATAACTACCGATCATTAGTTCCTCACAGTACTTCACTCTGAATTCTACAGAACCTGCATGGCTGTTAAGTAACAAAGCGGATTTCCACTCCAGTTCACCTTATTAAAAGACTGATCTGCAAATATTAGCAGCTGAGTGCCACAAGCATCTGTGCAATCCCTTGGAAGACAACAGTACAGTACAGACATAAGCAAGAGCAAAATAATGTCCTCTGGAAAGAACTTGATGTCAGCAGGAGAAATGCAATATGGACCCTCCAGGTATTGTTTCTCCTGGTGCATCTCTTACTTGAAGCATCCTATGAAGACTTAGGGACTTGCATGGAATAAAAAGCAGGGCCCTCTCCTTCAGCACCAAGCTGAGGATCCCCATACACTGTGTATCATGATGCAAGCACAGCAATTCATGCTCAGTCAAGATTTTAAGTAAAAAAGGGCAAAGAAACTCAAAGTCACAGCATGCTCAACATACCCTCAATGACCAGATTATTTTCTGACAGGTACTGGATCAATGACATTTATGGTGTACATGACTTCTTTGCAAATGAAAGGAAAGTGTCTAAATCACAGCTGTACCTCTCCCAAAGAGCAGAAAGGAGAAATGGTGCCATCAGTGATTGGCACCCATGAGGGACAGAACAAATTGACAGCACCATTCTGCCCCCAAACCCATTGGTTTCAACCCAGCAAGTGCAGTGGGGTCAACTCACTTGTCCCCATTGTCATCCTGGACAGCGGTGAGATGGCGCTGAGCCGCCAGCAGAACCTTCACGTCTCCAGTTACGGCGTAATCGAAGAGAGCATTGCAATGGCGCCTGGCAAGCTGCAGGGCCTTCTCCAGGAACAGGGCATCTGCAACACAAAGTTTCCTCGTCATCAGCTCACTTCTTTTCCTTGGAACACCACCTACTTTTGACAGGCACTTGTGCTGTCACAGAAATACAGCACCAGGCATTATTCACTGCTTCACTGAGATGGTTGCTAATTACTTCTGAGAGGTAAGGACAGAGAGAACAAATGCCTAGGAAGCAAAACTAGGTGCATGCTGAACATTCAGGCAGCAGGAACCCTGAGAACAGTCAAATCTGGAAGCTCCCTCTGGTTTGACTGGCACTGAAATTAACAGCACTGATGTGCAGTTGTGTGAAATGAGACAAAAGGAGCAGAAATTGGATCTGGAACTTGCAGGTCTGAGTCATTTTTCCTTGAGGAACCTGAGGCACGGGAAGCCTAAGTGACCCATCAAACAATGCAGAGAAGCTCAGAGAAAAGCTGAATAAATGCATGGAATAAATGCAGGGCTTTGCACTCCTTCTCCAACTCAAATCATGCAGTCTAGCCTGCACAGCAGCAACACAGAGAGTGTGTTCTTCTGTTTAAAACATTTCACTTTTTTGCAATGGTTAGTACTTGTTTCCTGATTTTAGAATTATAAAATGGACAGCCCACTGAGATTTCAAAAAGCAGAAGCTGTCATGGTGGGGAGGCAGAAGGGAGAAATGGGAGAAAAGAAACTCATTTGCGGATAAAAGTAACTCTAGCTGCTCTGTCAATACTTCTGTGGTTCTGTATCAGCAAGAAACTAGTGAAAATGAAACAGATGAGCTTGACTACAGCGTCATTCTGAGAGACAGTATCATCTGAAACCAGCCAGTATTTTAAACAGTTTCATGTTTCCATAAAACCTTGTAAGGCTGGGAATTACAAAGTGCAAACAAGTACAACAGACTGTGTCATTTAAAGCACACATGGGGAGACAATAGCCAGGATTTCCAGCTACACAAAACCAGGCATTTAACCGGGTCAGAAGTGTGTCCCTGATGAACAGGAACTCATCACTGCTGTAAGGCACAGACTTACTCAGCTATCCATGGAGCTTATTGTTCTGGCCAGTACATCCCTGTGGCTGCTGCACTATATGCTTGGGCTGATGGATTTATATTTGCTATTTACCTCTTAACACTAAATGTATTATATTCAGGATACATATTCAGGTTAAAGGGTGTTAAGCAGTTCAGTCTTTTCTCATTATACGTATTTTCAAAGATCAAAGAACTGCATGTTCAAATTTCCTGGTTTTCCATATTAAATACATAGGAAAGATAGCCTTCAAAATATTATATGTATCTTTTAGTCTAATAACCAAATGATCTAGCCTGCAGTAGCTATTTTATGGAGCCTGTTCTTCTGCACCAATTCTTTGTATAATCTGGAGCTAGAAATTGCGTCCTTTCATTCCATTACAATGGATTAAAAAAAAAGGTCAGCTTCCTGCCTACAATCTCAATTGTTTGGAAAACAAGTAAACAATTCAGCTCCCTCATGACAGCTAAATGTACATTGCTGCTACTTCTTATCAGCACAAGATTTTCATCTCTGAACCAGTCATGGGATTTATCACAACCAAAACTACAAACAGCAGGTTGCTTCAGCACCATCTGTTCTCAGACCACAAGAAGCTCCACCTTGGAGGTGTTTTCAACTACAGCCCACCTCCTGTGCCACTCTGGATTCTCAAGGCACACGTTTCTGGTGCTCTTAATAGCAAGTGTCAGACAGGGCTGACACACACAAGGTAATGTGCTCCCTCCCTGATCCAGGGAATAACAAAAGTGGTCTAGATCATGTTGCACTTGGTAAAAACCAGAACCAAGAAATTCCTTTGTGCTCAATTCTTACCAATACCATGTCTCTCTAGTCCAACTACTATTTTTTTTTTGATGCTAAGCATAATTACTCAAATCCTTCAAAAAATGTCCATCAACTGTTCAAAAAAAAAAAAAAACCAAAGCAATCCAGGAAATGCACATCTTGCTGTCTGGGAAAGGGTGATTTGCAGTCTTTATAATTTTTAGAACTCTGCTGCTAAACCAGTTCTGATGACTACCCTTCCCTTCCTCCTCCTTTTGTTTTGTTGCCTGAAATAAAAAGACAAAACCCCTTACAACAGTATTAAAATGGTAAGATAAAAAAGCAGTTCTTTATTAGAAGCTTCCAGGTGTGTCCATAGTTATGGGCTATGGGCACACCCAGGAACAGATTTCTACAGTTTTTGTAAGTTTAACAAATTATCCTATGTAACAAACATTGTCCAATTAGGAGAGCAGTTGGTTAGGAAGTTTTTCCCCTAGGTATTGCACCAGTGGAGTTGGTCCAGGGCTTCTTTGCCCCACTTCTTTTATGTCTTCTAAGATTTTGATTGGAAAACAAAATGTTCTTTCTGTAGGCTCTCTACTCGAAAATAAGACTAAACAGTATTTCAGAAGTGTGTTAGAAGGTTAGCTTATTCCTCTACAATCTAAAAGAAAGGGTAGGAAAAATACCAGGAACTGTAAAACCACATATTAATGGTCTACAAAGCTACAAATATATGAAAAATACATAAAGAGCAAAAATTTTTAGGCATTACTTTGATGTATAACACTTTGCTACTGCAGTTATTTCACTGTGTACTTGCCAAATGTAAACAGGTACCTTTACATTTTAAATTCAAACCAGTAATGCTACTTTGCACACAGTTCAACAGTGTTGCAGGGAAGACCTGCAAGTCGCTAACATCCATTAACTCATCCATTAAAGTCTCTCAAATATCAAAAGCCAAATATCAACTGCTGAGTTACATTCCCTGTGCCTTCACTGCTTGCAGCTTCCTTGCTCACACAAGTTTATTCAAAGGCAGTGTTAACATGTCCAGCAGGCAAAGCTGTCTCATCTCCTTGCATGACAAGCAGAAACTCAAGTGTCCAGTGGCAGTAGAAAGGTGGAAGGTTATCTACAGAACTAGGTATAGGGATAGACCTTAGATCTTGGGGAATTTTCATGTTCTGAGAACAGACATTTTTGGAGTTTCCAAACCTTTAATGCTTGCTTTGCAGTACTGCAGTTTGATTTACTCTAAACAGATTTATTTGCTCACTTACCCTGCCACCTGCAATCTGCTTCGCTCACTTCAGTCTTACAGGAAAAACCAGAATCCTCCTTTTTCTCATGAACAGCAGATGTTCTGCACTCACTGCTCTCCACAGCTTCCATCTTCACATCACATTTCATGCCCCATTGGTCATTTTGTTTATCACAGCTCTTTCTGTCTTGTTCAGCTGTGTAATTTGATAGACCTTCTAATAAAAAGTAGAATAATTAATTTTCAGTACCATTGCTTTTTTAATACAAATGATAAAACTCAACTAGACAAAACCAAACCCTGAAAAATGAATACAAAAATTTACTTCAATCTTCACTTTACTTCAATCTAAAACTTATCACTAAACTCATGAATAATGATATTCCAGATGCCAACACACATGGACAGACACAGTGATGTGACTGCCCTAAAGTGATGTTAAGTCTTTGACAGCCTCTACTTTAGAAACAAACTTTTATATATTACAACAGATTTACCATTCTTTTCATGGTACAAGATTGTGAGTACTGAAGTGCTCACACAAAATCCAGTGGAATTATTCAGACATATTTTTTCTTTTTAACAGCAAATTCATACCCGAGACTCTGGAAGTATCTACAGAGTAATCAACACGTACATCTGAAATTACCTTCCTATTTTAGGGAGCCAAAAGTATCCTTATTATTAACTTAATCTTTTCTATTGATTTTTCTGGGCTACAAGGTAGTACCAGACTGTGGCAACACAGGAAGATACATTTTCTGTGGTCTAGTCCTTGGTCATTTGTAATTAGCACATTCAAGCAAGCAAGAGGGCTGCTGCTTGAAACAATACCCTGAATACAGAAGCACGTGGAGGGGTTTTGGTCACTGCTTCTCAGGACTGCAGACTAAAAAGAAACTACACTTGCAGAGGAAAAAAGAGAAGCAGGGCAGTGTAAGCTACAGAAACCCCTCTGTCAGAGGTTTGAGAAGAGGCCCTCTCCAGCACACTTTGCTAGACCTGCCTGACACTTTGGATTATACTGTAGAAAAAAATACAAGTCAAACTCAATTCGACTGTTGGAAAAAAGACATTTATGCTGTTACCATGTTTCATGCCAGCACTGGACTTTGTTGCACCAGGGAAATGCATCCCTCCAAAAGCAGAGTATCCATATGAAGGAAAACTGAACCCTAGAGAATGGAGAAAGATTAAGAATCAATAGAATTACATCCTAAAAATGATTACATCCATCAAAAAGAACAATGAACCTAAAGAACTGAATTTTTGTTTTCTTTGTACCTTCTGCTTTATTCCATCCAATTAATTTTCCAGGCTAAAGATGAGCTTTCCCCTACCCCTTCAAAAATCCAAAGAAATTCTATGTGGTTGGCTAGTGACACTGTCTACCCCAACAACCACAACACCAGACAAATGTAGTATCGCTATGTCTCTCCTCTGAAACGCAACTGAGACATCACAAGCTGCCTCTGTGCTTTTGAATCTTTGTGATTACAACACATTTGTATTCTGGTGTTATGCTACACATGTGCTGCCAGCAACACATGCAGCAATTTGAAAACTGCTGCTCTATTTCTTGCTCTAAAAAAAGGGTTGTGGTTCAGGTGACATTTGCTGACCTATAGGTTTTTAATGCTCAGCTGCAAGAACTAAAGCAATGCTCTCACGATCCTGCATATCAGATATACTCTGACTTCAACAGATAGAGCACAGTAGAAAATTTACTAAAGAGCATCTCCAATTTTTTAACAGTTTTTTGCACTGAGTTAATGTGCCAAATTCCAATTGAGGTCCAAGAAACAGTTCAAAACCTGTTTAGACACCCACAATAATATTGAACTGAGCTGTGTCATGAATTTCAGCACCTCCAAGGCTCTAGGATGCAACAAAGCTCCCAAAGTGGGAAGGCAAACAGCATGATGAAGTGTTTAGAATAAGGAGATGCTTGACTGAATTGAGTAACAGTAAACACAATAAAGGCAACAGAGTCAGGTCTAATATGCCCAGGAGACAAAATCCTCTTTACATCTTAAAAATCAGCATAAACATCTGTCCTGCTCTCAAAGTAGAGCCCTTTTCCCTCTTTGCCCAAAACTGCTGCCTTACCAGAGCCAGCACCACCACCTGCCCCTCCATACATGCCACCACCTCCAGTGCCACTGCCCCCACCATAGCCATCGGAGAAGTTGGGCATGAGCTTCTGCCGTTTCCTTTGCACTTCTTCTTTATCTGGGATGGAAGGAACAGAGAGAACAGGGAGTCAGTCCTGCTGGTGGCAGGCACAGCACACACAGGGTGTGCATACAGAAAGCATCACTACAGTTACAGTTACAGTTAATAACACAGAGTGTGGCAGAAGAGTCAACCTTCCTCAAGCTCCAAATAGCAGAAAATCTTAGTACATACTGGAGCAGAGAGAATTCTTCTGAGAACAAGCCAGTGCCAAGTCCAGAGTCAGACCAGCAGCACAGCTTGGGCCTGGCTTGGTCTCTTCAGCCATGTCACTGCCTTGTGCTCAGACTCGGGGGACACAAATGGGGATGTCTTGAGGGGCTCAGAGCTTCCCTCAAAAGTGTCTCATGTACTGAGAGCCCTGGAGATCAGTGGCCCCAAAATTCTTCAGTGTCTAAGCCAAGTCATGAATCAGCAAGTGCTCCAAACACCAAATTTGTTGAAGAAAATTTGCCTTTGGGGAATACAAGCACAGGCTCTTCTTCCAAGCAAATCTGCTTCAGAAATGGAGCCTTATCAGAGGATCACAAGGCACTTTTGAGTTTCAACAGTGCAGAGTACCTGCAGTGCCTTTTCAACTTTTGTTTAAGGGATGGCAAGAAATGGTGAAAACTCTGCTTGCTTGAAATGATTTACTTAAAATACGTAACAGCCACTAGAACAAAGACAACTTATTTTCAGGCAGGGACATATTACTGTCAAACCATGCTGAGTAGCAGGAGAAAAGAAAAGCCTAAACTTATTTTATAGTGTAAGTACAAAATAAGACTTAGTACCTCTGGAAAACAAACCACAAAGTTTAAAAGGACTATCCCAGTGACTGGGGAAAGTGAAAATGTCATGACAAGATCTACAAAAATAGGGATACAAACATTACATGGGTTAAAATCCAGTAGAAATGTTGAGAAAAGAACAAAATATCATTTGCTCATTAAACCATCTAGTAGTTTTCAACAGCCATATGACAAAAAGAAATTTCATGCACAGTTATGGCATGAAATGCATTACATCAGTCAGTGCATCAGATGAGACAGCCGAATACATGAGCCAGTACACTGACAAAGCCACGTGCATTGTTTCCAGGTACACATGATGTGTAAGTATGTATGCATGCACACATCAGGCATACTCACACTGACGGGAAGAGAAAACCCTAGAGAGCAATCTAGTCAGAGAAACACAAAAAAATCCACATACATGGGTCTAAGTTTGTGGGAACATTTGCAACAAGGGTTATATAAATGGTTCCTAAATGGTAATTTCTTGATGAGGTTGTATAGGGGATCTGAAAATGCACATCATGTTGAATTAATTTTACTCAATTAAGAGGCACATAAAAAGAGGTTTGCTTCAAATCTAGCAATTTTGCTCTGCAGTTGAACACTTCACTTCCCTTAACACTTGTGCAAGAGGTTCCTGAAATCATTACCAAGAAGAAATCCTCTGGCAACTCTGGAAGCTTCTGTGAATTCATGCTTTGTGCTACTTTATTGTGCGAGTTGTGAAGTAGACTCACTTGGACCACCACTACGCCCTCCTCAGCTGTCCTGAGTCTCTCACCACTAATGCACATTTATTTTAGACACTCTGACAGGGAATTTATTTCAACACAACTCTACTTTAGGCACAGAAAACATTCAAGGTTAGAATTCAGTAGTGTAACCTGCAGGCAGGTAAACTCCTAAGCAGAAAGATAATACAATGAAACACCAATTATGACTTAGGGCATTTCCATATCATCAACATTATTGGTATTTAAAAGCTTGACTGCCAATGTCATTCCCATCAAACATTTGAAATGCAGACTTCAAAGGGCACAGATCTACTGATTAAACTTCTTTTCACTACTAATTTAGGAAGCAGATCCAATACCAATTCTTCTACTTCTTCTAAGCAACTAAAATTTTAAACAAGAGATTGAAACAGCATTTTTCCTGCTTGCACAAGAAATGTCTTGGGCTTACTAAACTAGTACAGGCATTGGACAATACAGAAACATCAGTGACATTGGCATGATGGTAAAGGGTGAGAACTGCAAAATATGTGCCTTTTCTACCAGGCACCAAACAGGTTGTGGTTTCAGGTTTCATCTGAGAGTACTGACAGTAAAATCTCTTCAGGTATTATTTGGCAGAAACTCAGAGGAAGAGTGCCATCTACTGTATGGACAGGCATGAGTGCATATAGGGAACCTGCAAGGAACAAGCCTCACTCGGAAAATATGCACGGATTTACTGCCTACCAGTCCTGCACCACCACCTACAAAACACATTATAAACCTACCACACTGCATATTGACTCTGTCCAAAACAAGGAGGCAAATACATTTTCTAAAAATAACAGCTAAAACCAAAAATTCCTCACCCAACCAGTTCTATCTTATTAAAAGCATTCCTAGGGACCCTACAATCTGTAGAACCCAATCTGTAGAACGGGTTTAATGAGTTACCTTTGATTTCTGGATAGTAGAGAAAAGGCTTTGGTTCGCTTGTTTCTAGATCAGATTTCCTACGCAGTTGTACAAATACAGATGCTGGCTTTGTGATATTGACATCTCGGTATTTGGGTGTTTTGAACACAATAGCAAACTGTGAAGGAAACAAAGACAAGCATATTTGTCACACAGCATGGCTTTTGACAACTTGGCTTTTGCATTTGCACTATTTTGAAGGCGTTGGTTTAGGGCTCAGGAGGCAAAAGCTCAGAGCAAAGGGCTGTTACAACAATAAATTTCCATTTTAGCTTTCAGTTTCACTTCTGAGATTGACTCCTAAAGCCTTTTGGGAAAGACAGAACTGCCATGCTAAGTGCTAACACATCCCATATGTCAGTACTGAACTGTTTGTCCCCTCATCCTTTAGCATCTCTTCTGTGGCTTTCTCAGGGTGTTCACAGGAGCTCTCAGAGCTGTTTATATGTCCTATCCCATTTTACAGGGGGTGCATGTTAAAGCAATGGGCCTTTCTCCTAATATCCTTGCACTATAGTCTTAGTCATCTTACAGATGTCTTTGTGTTAGAAAGCAATGACTCAAAGAGGAGGTCAGTATGGGATACAGAAGCTTTTACATAATTTACAAACTATAATATAATCTTATCTTACAGAGGGGGGGAGAATCATTAACAAAGGACAAATGCTCTGTTACTTACCTGTCTATGTACATCTGTAGGAGAGAAATCTCCAAAGCCTTCCCACATACCACCATTCTCATCCTCTTCATAGAAACGTATCTGAATATCATCTGCAGAGAATGAAAGTAACACTCTGGGATGTTTGTGCATTTGTTTAACCTTTGGCTATGGTTATTTCAGATAAGTATCAACGTGGTTACTTCTTGGATGAAAATACTACACAATACATCAATTATCTTTATCTGTTTTATGAAAACAGCAGAAAAAACATTTTTTACATCAAATTTACATCAGCCTAATCCTAATGACTTCACTCTAGTTGCTATTTACTGAGCTGTAAAAAGAGAACTAGGTTCACATCATCTTCCTATTCTAGGGTTATAAAACATTCCAGAGGAGCCTTATTTGGAACAAACATGTAAGGAGGGGAGAACTTGAAGCATGAAATGTAGAAACTACCCTCTCTCCTCCAACAGTTTCAGTTCAAAAAACTGCAGCAAAACCTGAAGTGCCACAGTTCAAGTTCCGCTTGCTGCTGGCAGAGTGCCACGGTGGAGCTGCAGCTCAGAGACTGGGGAGGTGTGAGCCAGCAGCGTGGCAGCAGGGATCCTTCACCCTCCAACAGCACAGGCCAGAAACATGGCATTTGGCTTCTGCTCCTCTGAACAACTCTTCTTTCATTCTCTTTCTATTTATTTATTTATGTTTTTAGGAAAAGCATCTCACCAGGAAATTCCTTCCACAGCACTCCCACAAGAAAAAGCTAGAAAAAGCCTATTGTCTCTTAGGGTGCCTGATGCAGGACAGGCTTCTGCAGCAGACAGACTGCTTTCCCTGCAGGTGCCCCACCTGCTAGTCTCAAGACTGTGAAGCACCACTTCCAGTCCTGCTGTCCTGCATGCTCAAGTTCCTTCAGGCAGGAGGTTTCTGCAGGCAGTGAGGTCAGGGGAAACCCCAGTCTGGTTGAGGGGAAGCCCCACCTCAGGGCTTCCACTGAGTCAGATATTTATTTATTTATTTAGCGCGTAAGAGTTGCGTTTTATCTCAGTCCTCCTGATGGCAGAGGGTAGATGCACTATTAAAGGAAAATAGTTCTTTCAAAGTCCCTAAAAGCCCCCAAAGTTTTCCCTCTTCCCTAAATGGTAGAAGGGCATTTAGAAGAAAGAGAGATGGAAAACGACAGCTTGCACCAATGCAAAATGTCACAGTGGTTTTAACAACATGAGCAGGGACTGTTTCCAAGTAGATGAGAACAGGGCACCCACTCTACCACGTAATCTACACCAGGGTGTCCCAAGTACTACTTCTAGCTGAAAAATACAAAGGATCTCCCTCACTCCCACATTTTTTCTTTTTTACTTAGCCCAAATATAACAAACCACATTTAACCATTATCCTCCAATAAAAACCAAAGTGTCCTAATCCACACTGCTGCATTCTCACAGTCTCACATGAGCAGAGACTGAAAATGAACCTGTCAGAAGTATCTGTTTACACTGAGTAACCTCTACCATAAGTGTATACATAAAAATGAAGTTATTAGTAGCAGTACTGAACACATTCAGCTCCCATCCATGAGAATACTCATACTTACTCTTAACAATCAGGAACTTAATAATAAATCAGGACCTTTAGAATAATTCAGAGCAGGTGTGAGTTAATGGAGTCAAACATCACCCAGCACCCACCACCCCTCAAAATTCCAGAACATATGCAAGGGCAGAAACTTGAGAAGAACAAAGATGATCATCAAGAAAAACTGAATTTGCTTTGCAATAGACTTTTTTGATTTATTAAATCTCTGGACTGTTGCATTGACTTCCAGAAAGGCTGAGTGCTTACAAATCCTGCTGCACTATTGGAATAGGACAACACTAAAGAGAGCACAGGAGGCTTTAGTGTACTCCAGATGAACACCCTGGCGTGCCTCACAATACTCATGACTCTTACCTTTCTGAACCTTGTCACAGAGCAGGTAAATCTCTTCCCCTCCTGTCACACACCCTGCTGTTCTGTCCATTCTTACAATTTTTAGGTTGGAGGCATTGGGAGCTTCTATTGAAAGGGAAGATGAAAAAAACCTGCTTACTTTTGTTACAGATTTAGACTTCAAAAAACACAACCAAGCACAACACACAGAATGCAATAGAAAAACAAGCTTCCAATACAACCTACCTGAATTTGTCTGTGTTTTTTTAAATATGAATAAATCAAGGGCTTTCCATATGAAAGACAATCCCGTATCTCCTAAGCTTTGACTGAACTGTGAACTACAAAATAAGGTCCCAGCCACTGCAGCACAATTACTGCACTAGCAAGGTAACCCAGCAGTGACCTGCATCCAGCACCCTGCAGTAGTACTCATTTTCTGACAGCAGGGCCGTTCAAGAGAATGCAACTTTTTCCTCCCTCCTTTCTGACAGAGTGACACTCCTGAGAGCTGCTTCTTGCTATCTGCAGTGCTTTGCTTGACACTGTGGCTTACTCGAAAGCATGCCAGTTTTGGCCAGTGTACTGCACAGTGATAAAAAAGCCCACCTCCCCAGATCCTAGTAGAGGCATCTACAGACAACTATTGGTCCTCAAGACAGAAATATCATCTGATAATGAAAGCAGTTGTGACAGGCAAGTTATGCTACCACAGGTTCTGTCTGTTCTGTGAAGACTTGAATGGTGCCAATAAAGTATCCAAAAAAAAAACCCCAAACAAAACCCAAAAAGATCTCCTGAAATTAGCAATCAAGAATTCACCTTGGGAGATCAGAAACTAGTAACTGACATCTGTGGGGCAACTTACAATAGCAGAAACATGCATACAAAATGTCACCTTTGTTTGTCTCCTTAGTTTAGGACAAGATTTTTGACCTACATTGCCCAATTAACAGCAAGGCACAGACTATCGCAGAAGAGTTGCATTTAGTACACTTTGATCTAGACTTTGTCCTTAAAAAGCAATAATATAGATATGACTGATGCACAAAGGAAAAAAAAGGTACTTTTCCTGAGTCATTACAGAATTACTATCAAGAACATGGGATGCCACAGCCTCAGGAAGGAAAATTCAGGCAGCAGAAAGGGTTCAATTAAGATGAGTCACTATAATTTAACAGCATAGGGGAAAACATGAAGTGAAAAAATTCTCTTAGAAAAAAGACAAATAAAGGAATGCTCTAAAAATACTGATAGATCTAAAGGAAATGGTTGCACTACCTTTTAAAATATGGACAAGCAGATGGTCTGCAAAACTGAAAGGTCAAAATCTCAACAAAGATAGAAGCAAAGTAATTTTTTTCCTCACATCTTGTGTAATAACGCTTTGTCACAGAAAGCAACTGAAAAAAAACTCTGCAGAATTCAAGCCCTTCTTATGGATATAACAAGAACGTACAAAATCCTCATAATAAAAGTGGCAGGATTAAACATGCGAACAGCAAAATAAAATCTTCCTCTATAGCTTGCATCACCATCTATTAAAACTAGCATGACACTGTATGTACATTGACAGACATGGGGCTAATTATCCATGGGTACTTACTTGTTTTTCATCAAATACCAGGCAGGCAGGGCTGGATGAGTCTATGTACAGCAATAGCTACCTGTCATCTCTGTGTGTACAAGAGCCTGCCCCTGATTAAAGAAGTTATTAAAGCCAAATACACTCACTGCTGTCATATATTGCATCGGATATGACGGGATCCAGCTTGCGTGTGAAGCTGCCGTTGCTGTCGGGAAGGAAGGCCGTGAACATGAGCCGCACCACGCTGAGATCCATCTCCTTGGTCTGCTGGATGGCTGCCTGGCGGATGATTTCCCTCTCCCGTTCTGGAATTACAGACAGAGGAATTAACACAAAGGGTAGGGCACCCTTAACAAAACAGAGAGAAGAAACAAACCTCCAAAGGCATAGATAGGGAGGAAATGTCTTCCTTTACGTTTAGCATCCATTGGGTTTTCCCTTTCTAAGCAGAGTAGAGCAGCTATTCAAATTGTACTGCGTTCATCTGGCAGTTTGTGCTTCAGATCTTACTTAAGTTATATAATTAAAAGACAGAAAATTACTACTTTCTGCTCTCAGTTTATAAAGGTTGTGAAAAGGGAGGAGGCCACCCCTAAGGACACCTGAATTCTTGGTGTTAAGAGTGATGGAAAGACAGCTGGCCCCTCTATGCAGTGCCTGAAATCAAAGCAGACCACAGGTTTTACAGCAATATGAGTGAAATGCAGCTGAATGAAACAGTGCTCTCAAAAGGAGGTCCCTAAGTTCATTAAGGATATCATGTCTTGCTACAATAATGCAAAATTACTCTATTTAAGAGCTTATTCAACAGAATAGCAATAGAATACAGGTGCAGAGGTTGGTACAGGCAGCTGTGGAAGGAAGTTTCTCCATTCTCATGCATGCATTGACAGCAGACTGCTTTCAGATTCCCTAAAACACAGCAACAATGCACCACCTCTTAAAAGCACATAGACATTGGCTGTTGTCCTACACAAGGTCTTTTTCCAGCTAGGAATCTGTGTTTTCAGAAGCTCAGCCTGTTTTTAATAAAACACCAATTAAAACCAGGCCATCATTGTCACATACCAGTTAGCTGCCTGTCTTCACAGCCTTCTGCCTGAAGATAGCTGAGTTCTGGATGCACCAGGAGTCCTGGGTTGTATCCCTTCTTGCAAGCATCTATCATGCGTGTTTCCAGAGTTTCAAACACTTTCTTCTTCGTGACATGAAGGATTCCAAGATTTGCAAACCTGCCAAATTTTGATTGGGGAATGCTTTAGGCCAGACTTATAGGCAGCCTTTCTCTTACCAGAGGCAGTTACAAAACCCAAGTCTACAGAAGGACTCTACAGGTTTACTTAGACCCTATTAGTGTTTGAGGGAGAATTTTCCATCCAGAAAAATTCAGTCAAGATGAAAAAACATGTAAAATGCGCACCATTCTATGACAGCGATCATGTGGGTGCACGTTCCTATGGCATAAATAGTAATCAGTCAGGTTTCAGACTTCCACTGGGAAAGCAATTTACAAAATGTTGGAAAATCTGGTAGTCACACTTTGTTTGCTGTGTCTTGGCAATGACATTAATATGTCATTCTGTGTGTCTGTTAAGCAGAGCAACTGCTCAGAGTATGCTCCATCTGTTGAAAATGGTTTGGAGAGCAAGCTAAGAAGCTAAAAACAGTGCGGTATTTTACAAATAAAATGTTTTAAGGAAGGCTCTGCTCATTCTGCAAGATAGTTTGGGTATCTATTTGAATAAAAATATCCAAAATACAAGGTGTGCTTTTGTAAAAATCTGCTGGTATATTGAAAAATCAATTAGATTTGGAAGTATGAAAACAAGACAATAACTCAATTTTCATGCGGGTCAAGTGAGGACAGGAAAGCTGGTTCTAAACATCTGATGAAAAACAAGACAGGTTAGAAAATGAGCCAAACTTTTCAAGATGAAACGGAGCATTTGAAATAAAGCTATTTAAATTGTTGTGCACGGTAAAGTCAGTGCACTGGGCTTGGACATCAAAAGTTACAGTTTAAAAGAATCTCTCTCTCCCAACCTTCTCAGCTTTTTAAACTTCATCATCTTCACCAACAAAGACATTCTTGAGATCACAGAACTAAAACTCACAGCCAGCATGAAACCTGATCTAAGCCTCAAAACACGGTTGGGAGCTTCAGCTCCATTTACTGATATAAACAATTATTCTTTCAAATTAAACAAGAACAGGCCAACTACAATTTCACTATAATCTTTCTGCTTTAAACTTTACAATTTTGACTTATGCAGTATTTTCATGTTTATACCTGTCCTGCATTAATTTCAAATTTACTAATCCTATTTTCTTAATGCTTTCCATCACATTTCTATTGACAGGTTTCAATAGAAGTAAAATATTGATCAAAGAGGTGACAAAATGATAACACTAATTTTAGTCTCTTCTCTGATCATACCTCCTTGCGTTTTAAAGAATGGACTTACAACACAAATTTAGACTGCACACCAAGAGACTAAAACTACAAAAATTCTAAGTAAAAAAATAGTCACTTAAATGAATTTAGCTTGCTTAGGGAAAATTCTACAAAGGTGAACAAAAACCCCATTGAATTTTCTTTTTTATGATATAAAAAAAAACAGAGATCAGAACGTGGAGACGAGTGCTCCCCAGAGCTGCCTCTTAGGAGCATTTCTGTACTGCTTTTTAGAGTCCTGATGCTCCCCAGAGCTCAGGTTTGCAGAGGAGCTCCCAGACTTACCCCACCACCATGTCCTTGGGTCCTGCGAGAACCGTGCACACTCCGTCTTCACAGAATTTACCCACCAGGCTGTGAGCGTGCAAGTGGACATATTTCCCGTTAGTTACTAATTGGACAATTACTTTTGCAGGTCCAACATAATTGCAGATCTGTAAATAAATATGAAGAAAGTGGGATGGTTTGCTTTCTGTTTTTTTAAAATGAAACAAGTGATGATTCCAGGTGAGCATTTTCTGTCAGTTAAGTACAATCAAGTTTACATGGGAGAAATGTGTATGCATTTCTTCATGAAATACAAATGGCAAACTAACTGTACCAGATCATCACTTTCTTTTGCAATTGAACTTGATATGCAAATGGCAGAAGTACTGACCAAAAAAGTTAAAGGAAAGACTCATCTGTTTCTTAGAACATGAATCTCACTTTTATATTCTGGCCATTTAGTCCACACTGCTCTCCTTAAGTTTCAATCAGTACATTGAATTCACAATAAATATTGTTATCCATTCAGAAGCATATAGAAAATTAAACTAAAAACCCTGCACTGTTTTGCCCAATTCAGAAAGACTTTGAAAATTACTTTTAAACATTATGATTGTTAGAAAACCTTTTGGCCGCATTACAATATTGGACTCCTCAGGTAGATTTTACACTGAATAAATTCTATATTAACAGGCATTTTGTTAGCTCATGTACTTCATCAACACATATTACTCAGTCCAGTAAATATCTCCCTTAAGTGTACACAAGGATATGCAATGAATTCCCACCTAGCATTTTGCTGGACTAGAACTATGATAAACTGTGTGCTTTTTTTCATATACCCAACTCTGAAAGCCTACAAAGCTTTTTTTTCCCCTTGCCACAGCTTCTAATCACCATACATTTTAAACAGCTTTTAATAAAAAACAATGCCTCAAAAACACATCTAAAATTACTAATAACATACCATACTGGTAAGTTATTTGCTTTACATATATTATTTAGAACTTTATTTTCTTTTTCACTCCAAGGCAGTAATACTCCAAGGCTGTTGTGGGTTATGCACCACTTTCAAATTATGCTGAACATAAAATTACCCCACTTTTTAAAAAGCAAACATTACCTTCCCTTCCAATTCACTTAATTAACCCTTTTATCAATGTTGGGCTTTTCCCCCTCCTCCTCTAATTTTTCTTCTAATTTGCCTTGGGCCAAGTTCTTTGTATTACAGCAGCATATAGATCTAATCAACCAAGGCATTAAAGGATCACGATAAACATTAAAGTGATGAATCAGTGATGAACTGAATATTTAAGGTTATATTGTTGATAAAATGCTGATAGCGAGGGATTGCCTCGATTTCACCACATTACTGAGTCCTGCTAGCTTCCTTCACTCCAGTTAACCCCTCTCTTGAACCCATTCCATCACAGCTGAAACACTTTGCATATGTACAGTGCGTGCCCTCCCTGCCTTCCTATTCACTGCTGAAAGCAAAAAAAAAATCCCAACTATGAAAAAGTTGTTCCAGGAGGAGCAGGTGTGCAAAAGCCCCCTCATTACCCACTCCTGCTAGTTAACTGTATAATGCTGCAGTAATGTGCATTTTACAAGTGGCAGTTTCTAAAATACAAGACAGAGGGCTGATGCTTCCCTCCTGTTTCCACATTGAAATCTGGACTGAAACAGTACAGAGATGCAGAATAATCACTGCTGGACTATTTCTGTCATTTACCAGCAGGGAGAAAATATTTATGTACCTTTCACAAAGTCATCTGAAAATAAAAATGACTGCATTTGGTGTTACAGTATGTCACCACCACTGCTACAATTAACTTTTCAAAAAGGTAGCTTTAAAAGAATTCTTTTCATTTTACTCCTCACTCAATAAGTCTTTTCCTACTACAAAGCTCCCAGCACATCTGCAGCGCTATATTCACTATGAATAACATCAATGCTCTAGTGTCACATCAGAAAAGTTCAAGACAATCCTCCATCAGCTGTAGAAACCACAGTGAAACTGGAGGCAGGACTGCTGCACACAAGGACTTTCCAGCCCCTGAAAGCTCAGCACAGAACTGCAGTGGTAACCAGATTGCAATCTGCCCTGTTACTCAGCCCAGCATGATCTTTGTAGTCTTTCCCTCCCAGGGGAAAAACAAAAGGGCTCCTAAAACGTAATACCTTATGTAGGTCATAAGGCAAGAAAGGACTATTTTTGTCATCCAGTCTGATGTCCTATGCTGCAAAGGGGACATAATGTCTCTGAACATCGCCTAACTTTATTTCTTATAGACAGACTTTCCTACTTGATTTTGAGTCATTTGGGGTAAACTTGGTGCCCAGGAAAATAGCCTGAGTGGTTAGATATCCTTATGTACCACAAATTAAGTCTGAAATAACTTTTCAATGTCCTTGAATCATGCCACAATTTCAGAATAATTTTAAATCAATTCAGGCACTAAGGTATAAAAGTAACTACTAGGTTTGCACTTATGAAACATTGTCAAAGGCCTGAAAAGGTAGAAGGTATGTTACAATGCTGAAAAGGGATTATGGTTTTGACACAAAAACAGACTCAGCATGAGGGGGAGATAGCATGTGGATGCTGTATGGCTCAAAATCAGAGCTGTGATCCAGAAAACAGCTACTGAACTTCAAATTAAAGGTGAGGGGAAAAAATAAAAGAAGGAGTTCCTGGGTAGAGTATAGCTGTAATACTTGATTACATCCTGTATCTGAAGCAGCATTCAATTGATCTGATAAAGTTAAAAGGCTGCTTACATTTATCGGCTCTTTCTGTTTGAGAGATTTGTCTGAAAGATTAAAAGGATCCTGTGAACTTGAAATTGAGTCAGTTTCAAAACAAGAGTAGAAAGTTTTTTCAGTTATTTCATGTCCTCCTGCAATCCAGATCCCAGCCAATTTTTACAGGTTCCAAGACTTTACAAAAACTTTATAAGAACATTATCATACTTCAAAAATGTTTTTTTCTAGTTACTCTTACAAGCAAGAAATGAAACTAACTGGTCAACAACAGGAGCAAATGATGGAAAAAACCACATTAAACCAGCAACACCAGCATTACAAAAGCACCTATTTCTCCTTCCAATCCCTTTGTGAACAACTGCAGCTCCAGCCCTGCCTGTCCTTCAGTGTCACTACTGGTGTCCTAGGCACATAGCCTTGTACAAGAAGTGTTCCAAAGATGAGGAATCACTCACTCTTTATGAACAGCTTGTTTTTACAGAGCAGTATCTCTCTTTTTTCAGTTGCTAATTAAAGACTAAATATTCAGATGTGGTACAAATCATGTAGGCAGCTGAGTACTTATTTAAAAGGCTTAAGAAAAAGCCATGTAAAGTAATTTAAACCAATGGGAGCTGAAGATCTGATCCTCTGACTCTGAGGTCACTGTAATGGCAAAAATATAGAGCTTCTAAAGTGATTCAGTGCCTCATATTCAGCTAAATCAGCCTTACCAGTAAAAAGCTCAAATCTCACTGAATTTGATTCTGTAGCTTTCTAAGAGGGGTAAAGATTTATACCAAAGAGTCTGCTTATTCTTGTCTCATGTTTTTTCCTTAATTCAGTTGTTGGGTGATTTTTTGGACTTGTAATCAGCAATCTATATCACTTTACATTTAATTCCTATTGGGGACAGGGGGAAAAGCAAATAAATATGCTCCTTTTGTCACCAAGGCTCATCAGCAAAGTAGTTTTCCATAAATTCTCCTCCTGAACTCGAAGTAAATGTGCTGAAATCCCAGATTTCAAGAAGAACTCTCATCTCCAGACTGAGGTATAGTTTGGAATAGCCCCAGGACAGACTGGCTGGGCAGTTCTGTTGGTGTGCCTGGGTCCAGCGCTGCCTCACTGGTGTGCAGCTCCAGTTCACAAGCCGAAGTGCTCTGTGCCCAGCCTCTAGTGCAGAGAGATGGTGCTCTCTAGCTCAGGCACACCTCTGAACTCCGGGCTGGAGCTCATTTACATCCAGCTCACAAAGAACACTGAACTACACACTGCAGCCACCCACGTAGATTTGCCCCCGAGGAGATGAAAATTCAGGACATTTCCTTCACTCTGCTGTTTTCAGCAAGTTCTTGTCACCCCTAAAAGTGGATCAAGCACTTCAGTGTAAATCATGGATCTGCCCACACTAACAGCAGCATGAAAGATCAGAGCACACATGATAAACGTGCAAGGCCAGTGGAAATTTTCTGCATGAGTTTTCTGACATTTTTTCACATATATGAAACCCAAGCAAATTATAAAAAAAATAATTTAGATAGTTAAGTATGCTGGTGATAATATTAGACTTTGCTGGTTTATCCTTTCTTTTTATACTACTGATTGCTTTTTCTCTGGATAAAATGGTAATAATGAATAAGCAGTTCATGAATAAGCTTTGGTTTCAACTGTTCTAGACAGTAGAACTTTCCAGTGCTGTGTTACTTACACTAAGTGGGTGAAAATGAAATTTAAATGAAGAATTTTAAGTTGCAATCATGAAACATAACTTCATTGTAACATCTTTATTATCTACAACTTCTCTGCTCTCCATAATAACATGCAAAGTTATATAGAATCCTCTGAATATGCAAGATGTTTTCTACATATTAGGATTACTCTTAGCAAAGACAAGGCTAAGCAAAGGAACGTTAAGTCCACAAATCGTTAAGATAAATTAATCCCATTTTTGATATTATGGGATCTAGATTTTGATATTATGGAATCTACTGTTATCTAGACTCCATCAGTCAGGACTGTTCTATTAAATAAGAGGTTTTACTCCAATTCCACCTTGCTGGCCAGTGCAAATTTGTTTCAAGTGTAAAGACTGGCATTGCAGAACTGCTACATTAACTCCTGAGCTAACCATCTACTAATATACTGTACAGGGAGAGGTTAAACACGCAATTAAATACCAAAACACCTTGCTTAGAGACACAGCAAAGTCTTCAAAACTCCAGCCTTTATGTGAGAGATATGTCTTGATGTGTTCCAGCTTAGTTACGAGTTAGTGACAGTGCACGGAGGAAAAAAAAAGGGCGAAATTGAACAGTCAACATTATGCAAGAGGTCACATCCCATAAATGTGCTTTCATTTTGGCCTCCAATCCATCATGCTAAGAAAACAGAGCGGGAGACTGCAATGGTTTTTTGCCCACAGAGGATGTCTATTTTCAGGACATCCATGGTAGGTACTAGTAAATTTTGAGAGAGTTGGCCAGTTGGCCAAACTCTCACAAAGCAGATCCCAATGTGAGCTGCACTGACCACACCATGGCCAAGGGTTTAAAGATCTGTCACAAAACCTCCTTTTTTTACAGTACAGCCAAAGCTCATGCTACTGTCCTTTCACTGCATTGTGATCAACTACTGTAGGTTTTATAGTGAAAACATTGGCATGAGAGTAAAAAAAACCCACCAAAAATAAAAATAAAATTTAAAAAAATCAAACCAAAACAAAAAACCCAAATGCAACAAAAAAATGCAATTTTCAATTGTGCTCTGCTCAGTTAAGACAAAGTGAGCACATTCTGACAAAACACAGAAAAGACTTACAGGAAAAGGTGTGAAACACTTCTGTCTTTCCTGGCACTACTTGAATCAAGAACAGGCACTAACAAGCAATGGCCTTGAGGAATTTACTTGTGTTGCCTTGCCAGCCTCTCCCAGCAGGTGTTGCCATGTGGGGATTTGTACTGGGGGAAAAAACCCAGATGCACACAGTGGGATGGGAGGGAAGGGAAGGGATCTCTGTGTGTGTGTGTGTGTGTGTGTGTGTGTGTAAGCTATAAATGAAATTAAAAAGTGATGATCAATGAAATTAGAAGGTTTGATGGAAAGCCAAAGAACATTCTGCTTTCTGGTTTACTCAAGGAGAAATTCCATTTCCCGTTTAACTCCTTGTAATGCTATTGTGTGACCTACCACACCTTTATAAAGAATCACTTGTATTATTATCATTGCAGATTGGATCAGAATCCAAAGATCTGGCTCAACTGAAGTAAATGGTTTTATATCTGAACATTCCAGTGAAATTTCATTCATTGGTTCATCATTACTGTCAAAACAGGAAAGAAAAAAGCAAGTAGATCATTTGCCTGGGCTAGTAATTTTTCCTAAGAGTTTTGCAAGGCTATATGAATCTAAAAAAGCTAAATCAGCTTTCCCAGCTTCTTCTCAATTCACAAAACTACCAGCCTAGGCTACCTCAGCCAGCGCTGTTTATTTTCCATGATGTTATGCTTATACTGGTGCATTAGGAGATGCAACTGTTCCAAACTCCAGCCTTTCCCAAGAACTGCAGACAAACTATACACACACACTGAGAACAACCAGGAGTGGCACACACCAAGGCAGAGGTTTATGGCTTGCCACTCTTCCCTCCCCTTCTTTCCCCATAAAGGCATAAGAGAGCACCAGGATTAGAATACATTAAGAAATAACACCAGGATTATAATACATTAAGAAATAACACCAGAATTAGAATACATTAACCCTGCTCCTCATGAGAATTTGCAGTGCACCAGTTCAAACGTGTAATGTACTAAGAAGACCAAGGCTTGCTTTTAAGTTAAAAATACTGAAAAGACACAGTGTAGGTTTTCCACACTTCCACAGAAAAAAAAATTTGCTGCAAGAAACATAGGCAAATACAATCCTCCAGTCCCAGAATGATTAATCACTTTTCTAATCTTCATACTAAGCCTCCATAGAACATTTCTTTGATTAACATATTTTAATTTTTCTTTTCCAGAGGGAAAAAAACAAACCCACAAAAAAGTTCAGTGAACACCTGAACATACCACTGGTCCTATTAAAATCAGAGGTTCTATGTTACTTTAAAGGAATTAAGTTCCTAAGAATGGAATACTCTAGAGATATTCAATAAGGAGTAACATGAACAGGGAAAAAAGGAAAACTTGGTATATAGCATCCTAGAGTGAAATGGAACATCTAAGCAGACTCATGCTTTGCAATGGAAATGGAGCAACGGAGCAGCTCAAGCCTTGCTAAAACTGTACCTTAAGGAAGAGCTCCATTAGTCTGCACAATGGTAGTGAGGCAGTAGGTGCAGATAACTTACTGTTCAACTGCTGGCAGATAAAAACAGTGCCAAAACAAACCCACACATTTATTTTCAAAATCAAATGTGGACGTTGGGATTGAAATGTAGTCTGTCTTGAGCAACTTCATACAAATGTATGTTGCTATGCAATAAGGCCCTATACACATACATATGATGACACTGGCATTGACTTTGCAGCACTAATGTTTTATGTCCTTACTTTGACCTGAGGGTATGATTTTTTGTTCTTTTCACTAGAAGCACCAGGAAGTCCACCGTGCGAAGGTCCTTCACACACGTATCGGAAACGAAATCCCCTCTGTGGAATGAAGGAAAAGAAACTTGAAAGCTGTACAGAAACAGAGCCAAAAGAGAAAGAGCACACACAGAGATGAACACACCCATAAACAAGGCTTGCCCAAATGGAAAAGTTACAATTGTTCATTCATGAAATGCTGGTTAACAAAGCATCGCTGAACTGCAGCCCTAGAGAACCTCTTCTATTTTCACTTTAACACTCAGCAGCAACCTCATATTTTTCTTTTGGTTAAGTGAAGATATTTTGAAACAGAGAACTATTTATACTCTTATAATAGGATAAAAATTCACATGTAGAGAATGCAAGAGCAGATACTCTCTCCCAAGACTGCTGCTAAGTAGACAAAATTGAAACAAATAATAAGGAAGCCCAAGTACCATACATGAAAGTACAGCGATGAAACAGAAACACTTCCTCCTTCTGGGAAAAACATATGAAAGCTGTATCTTGGAGTGAAATCCAGAGATTTCACAGCAGAAACAGCACGAAAGCTTCAGGGGACTCTGGCTGTTTTTCATCTCAGCTACAGATGTCTATAAATAGATATCTGAATATACTTTAGAGAACTGCAGGATATTGAAAACCAGTCCAGAACACAGCTCTCCATCAACTCCATTGTTAAACATCCCCTTTATTTTACATGGCAATCAATAAACCATGAAAGATGCAACTCTTAAGTGAAGGTGTCTGGTAACTAACTCTACTTAACACTATATTTCATATGGTCCTCAATTTTGCTTTCAGATCTACTCTCCAGACCTACAAGTTCTGGCAAAATCTCCATCTTATATAGGGGTCCCAGTGTCCAAATAGCACCAGTTAATGTTGTAGCCTTTTCCAAGAGCCATTCAGCTTCTTTCTAGTAGTAGACCACTCTGAATTCAAAGTCTGTATTAGCTAAAAGTGAACAACATGCCTTAAAATTACTCCATAAGCAGAAGCTTCAGTACCTATCTCACTAAAGCTAAGAACTTGTTTACCAAGCAAATGTAAACTTTTATGACTTTTATTCAGACCTAACCAATTGCCTTTCTACGGTGAACTGAGTGACCCAGAGTTCTGTGTGTCGATCAAAAGGCAAAGCAGCCTCTGTGAAAGGCAGATCACCCTGTGCAGTCAGGACCCATCACTCTGCTGAAGGATCACCCTCATCACTCTGCTGTAAGCCCCTGCCCAGCTTCCCACATGGGTACCCCACGAGAGGAGCCCCTTGCTGACAAGTCCCACATGGGAACAAAGGTTTCTCCTTATGGACTGTGCACTGCAGGCATGGCCTGATTTGGGATGAACTCAAAACAATGAGGAAGATGCAGCACATTCTTCCAAGAGTTCACAGTACACTGCTGTTCCACTCAGTGCTGTGATGAAGAGCCCTATTCCTGGAGGGATGCTCCAGCACAAAAATGTCTTTGGTGTGTGATTGAAACCAATGTTCTCCACTGCCTCCTGCCAGGAAGAATGGATTGCAATATGCTTCTGCAGAAGACCAAGAGGAGGATGGGACAGCTTTTAGCCACCGTCTTCCCCTGTTTACTGAACAGCTCTCTAAGGGAGGATTTTGGTGAATTCCCTGGGACTGACAGAAAAGGCACCTCCATACTATAACAGCTTCAGGAGGAATCCTTGCAATTGCTGGTGCCACCAGCCAAAGGGGAACTATACCCAGGCACACTTCAGGGCAATCTTTACCCAGCAATTATTTGCACATCAGTTGCATGAAAACTAACCAGTGCATTGAAATGATTTCTCTGCAGTTAGAGGAGCATAGGTCACTGTTTGCTACCTAGCAGAAAAAAAAGTTTCATTGGAGTACTTATCTTCATTTTTCTTTGATTATTCAAAACAGACAATCATAACAAAAATAATCTCAAAGGACAACTGCATTTCTTTACAACAACAAAACACAAGTCAGAAGTTCCTGTAACTTGGGAATTAAGTGTTTTTATTTTTAACTTCTTGTGTTTCAAAAACTATGAAACAAATCCTAAAAATCTTCTGTGTTTGATCTACCAGTTTATGTTTCCAAATACTGGGGTACTGAAACAGCCACTTCTAAGATGAAGAATCTATACTTAGCAAGGCATATTTTTAAAACACTTAGGATTGGTTTTTGGTATTATGACACTTCCAGAAAGAGATAAAGAACACAGAACAAAACAGGAAATGCTTTAACTACAAAAGTAAGAGTTAAAACTGCTCATTTTAAGTGCCACATTTGTTCTGAGAGCTCAGACTTCTCTGTGCTCTCTTTTACTTAAGTCCTAAGTTTATTCAAAGCTGAATGTAGTAATATAGCTACCTTGGACATTTTCAAAATGTAGTCTTGTTCTTACCTGTTTTGGCTGTTCTATGATTTGAAGATATGGTCCATCTGCTAACATAAAAGAAAGAAAGAAAGAAAAGTATTAATAGAAATTATATTTCCATTGCTATAATGAATATATAGGTTGTAGGGGTAAGATACTGTCTTTGAATTACTTGAGATAAAAATTTTGAAAACATCTAAGTCTCTTCAGAACTTAAATTTCAATAAATTATTTAATTGTGTGTCAGTCTGTTACTCCCAACTAAAGATCAGTAGTATAAGAAGAGGAAGGTTAGGTCAAAAAAGTTAATTTTACTCAGAGAGCCTAAATGGACAACTGATCACTCCGTTAAAACTTGCAATGGTGAATAAGAACAGGATCCTTTCCTTGCCACTGACAGCAGCCTGGCTTCTTGAGCTAAGGTTAACTTCTGTATTTAAACCCCTTGGGCTCGAGAGACTACACTCACCAGCTTTTGGCCCTAGGGCTTCCTACAGAATAGGTGCTTTTGAAAGTCAGGAGACAGCCAATGGGAAGCTCTGAGGCATGGGAATACAGGAGGAATTCAAGCTGTCTCAACATGCCCCAAACAGTCAGAACTGCTTTAAAAAAAATCCTGGAATTGAGAAGACTAAACAATTTACATTCTTTTAATAATTTCAGATACACTTTTAAATATAGTGTTCTGCTGGGCCTCTATAAACAGTGAATACACTCAATTTGACTACAAATACAGACTCTCTTTTGATTGAGCATGGTGCCAATACATAGTATTATGTCCTACTAAAATTCTATTTATGTCTTTTAAAGAAGGCTTCATTAAACAACTTTCAGTCTCATACAGAGGTTAACTTCATACTATAAACCTCATGCAAAATTCACCAGTTTATACAGCTTTTGAGTAGGCCCTAAATCCGATGAGAATTCAGTGCCACCAGAGTTAAGCATTCATCACCTGATCAAAGATTAACTCTGATAATTTAGATTATTTACATCAAGAACGAAAGTTCTCTGCGTGGATGGCTGTGAAACAGCTCTTAAAAGGCAAGCCACTGATGAGTCTCAAAACAACAGTTCCAAGAGCTATGATTACTTTCCTCTCTCTTGCTAAGCAGTCCACATGACAGCTTCACTGGGAATAACTAAGGAATATTTTTCCAGCCATATTCCTGTTGGATTTCTGTATTATCAGTTCTACTCTGTTAAAGGTATTAATGCTAAGGACTCAAGCACAGATCTTTACTGAACAAGCTTCTCTCAACATGAAAGTTTGAAAAATACACAATAGATGAAATTAGTATTCTGCTACAGCAGTTAGCTGACTCAGCAACTGAACTAACTTAATGTCAAAGTTATATTGCAAATATTAGCAGTCACAACAAATGCACATTTAAAGATAAATTCGTTCTCAAGTCCATCAATTGCACTTTTCTTTGAAAAAGTAAACAGTGCTTCCTGAAGTCATGAAAAACAAATGCCTCAAGACCATATACACATAATCCTGCATTACCAAGCAGGAAAAACAGTTTGGACTTCAGGGACTTTAAAAGATGCTGAGTAATATTTAGCTTTGACCTTGTGTTTCAATTTTTGTCTGTAACAGATAGAGTCAAGATGAGCTGAGTTAGGTTTAAGCAATGTATCAGCACTTAAATTTTTTAAGACCTCTTTTCACAGACCTCTAACTCTCTTCATGCTTTAGGCACCGGTAAAGTTATATTTTAACAATCCAGAAGCCATGTATTTTCTGGGCATTGGCAGAAATAATGCACCTAAAATACAACAGTGTGTAGTTCAACTTTCAACCAAGCCTCCAGGACATGATCTGCCAAGTAATTGTTCTTTGGCTCTTCTCCTCTTAGGAATTCATTTTCAAGACATACCTGTTGGGTTAACACAAAATACTATTGCTTTCTCTCAAACATTAGCCAGAAAAGAAGTGTCTTTATCCAATGGCTAAATGGTTGCAGAAGTCCCCCATGACACATCACACCCAAGTTACAGCTTTTCCTCAGAATAAGGAAATTCAAACTCCTAAGAGAGGCATATACACTATCTTGGCACATCAGAAAACTAAAGAAAAATGCTTCATAACACTGAAATGGTTTTCCCTGTGAAAACTCAGGAAAATTGAAAACTTAGGACTGTGGTTATTCTGACCTCTTGGAAAAAAAGGTTTTAAAAAGCATACAAATATGCTGATTAAAAAAATAATGTTTTATATACCAGCACTAGAAAAGTGCAAAAAAGATGCAGTGTAAATGTACAAAGCCAAATTAGATGTCTGTTATCATTAAGCCACATTATACAAATAACATAGCAATGTACTTAAAACAGTTTTGTGAGGTCTTATTTTAACCTTTGGGTTCCATGACTAGAGATTTTCCTTTTTTTTTTAACAGTGGCTAAGTAATTCTCTGCTATAGCATCTGAACCAGACACAAATAACAGTACAGAGAAGGCATTCTAATGCAAAGCACCTCATAATACCTGAAATGCTACTTAAAAATAAACCAGCAATGTTCAAGAAAAGATCCATGCATAAATGGCATATTGTTTTGATTATAAAAAGGATTTTATTAGTGAAAGGTCTCATATAGCTGTTTTCACTGAACTCTGAATACTTTCCAGAGGCACATTACACACCCTAACACTGGCTATGTGTGATTCCTTCTTTCTGTCATCCTTTCCCATGGGGAAAAGAAAACACATTTAGTGTTTTGCACACAGCAGTTTCTAATATTTTGTTTCTATCAGTAGGCCTGTCTTTGTCTCAGCAGACAAAAAAGAAGGAACCTGAAGATGAACACCTTGTAAGGGGAACTAAAAATGATGAGATTTGTGATGATCCTTTGCTCCAGCCTGGAAGGTGCTTGCTTTAAGTTCTTGTTTAGGGAGCAACCCCCTTTTAAATGCTGAACAGCCACAGGAAGGAACATTACTTAATGCATAGCTATGTTCTACTTTTGCCTTACAGAGAGGCTGAAGGACACGATCACGGAGCTGGCGCTAACACAGGCAGGGCTCTCACGGCTGCCAAGAGCCAGGTTTTGACAGGAGTGTCCCTGGTGCTTTGCCTGGCACTGCAGCAGCTGGGAGGCCAAGAACCACAACATGCAGTCCTCCGGCTTGGAGGGGTTTTGCCACATCCTGGCCAGGCTTCAGGGCTTCTTTTTCAGTCCTCTTGCCTCGCTTGCCACAGAACGATTCGCATCCCACTCCACTCTGAGTCACAGTCCCACTTCCCCACGTCTTCTTCAACTGCCAAGTTTCTTCATTTTCCTTCCTGCCTGAGTCAGAGGCCCTCCTGCCCCTTGACACTCCCACCACTTGCATTCTTTCTTCCTCTTGACAGGCCTCACCCTACACACACACTTCCAAAGGAGCACCCATCCTAGGCTCCCCCTTGATTCCTTCTTCCCACCATAGCAAACTCAAGGAAAAAGAGGTCTCTGAGGTTGGTGGGATATCTCTGCAGGCCTGGCAACTCTCTTAGACTAGTGGGATCCTGTCTAACAGCTTTCTGAGTACCTAAAACCATTCAATGTAACCCGCAACAGCCTGTGAACAAGCATCATCCCTCACATCCTCTCTGCTGGTGGGCCACCAGAACGGGCATCTCACCCTTGTAACTGCTGTTTTCTCTGTGGATGTGGATGGATATGCTCATAGCCTGTAGGTATGGATTGTTAAGTCCCACATAAACTCTGTTGTGTCCATCCTGGCAGTGGTACCTTGCTAAAAGCTCAGACTGGAGACCTAGTGCCTAATCCTTCCTGAAGGCTGCTGTAGCATTTACATGTCCTACCCCTGAGGGATTCCCCTGCACAGGCATACTCTCTTGAATCCCAGCTCTTCAGTGTTCAAAGCATGATGTTTAAAGCAAATGGCACATGAGACTTTGTTTAACCTCTTCCTTGGTTCACTCTTCCAAACACGAGCACAGAAACTGTAGAAAAACACCAGAAACTGTATGGAAGTCTGCCCAAGCTCCTGAGGACTAGGGCCACTACTGTGGAACAGGGAAAATGAACACTCATCTCATTTTTGGTGGTGGTCTAGTTTCCTTGAACCTCTAACATTATCTCTCTTTAAAAAAATATGAAAGAAAAATATAAGTGCCTTCTTTTTCCCTCTAAAACCTCATTTTTCACAGCAAGTGTCACAGAGAGTTGGACAAAGGAGGTTAAAGAAACAGCAGAAAATTAATTTTAGCAGCCTCCAGGCAATACTGCTCAGCTCCTAATGGCTCTGCTTCAACTTCAAAGTTTTAAAAACACACCACCTTAATGCCAAGAGCTAGTTAGACCAGAGCCTCTCAAAGCCAGAACAACTACATAATTCCCAAACCCACTTCTAACTGGGGCATGTTACATGGCTGTAGATGGCCTTGGATCATCACGAGGGAGTACAAAACAGCCAAAACTACAAATCTCTTAGCTCAAAGCTCTGCCCATCTCCTCTCCAATGCCCACTTCCTCTCCTTCCTATGCAAAGGCATCACTTTGTTTCTCCACTACACAGTGGACATGCCGCTGCTGTGCACCTGCTTTTACTCTATGTAAACACATGCTGTGGTTAATGCTCCCTCCATCCCCAATGCCACTAAGGATCAGTACCTAACCTACCTAACCAAAGGCAGGATACTTCCCAGCAAGCCAAAGAAGAGGCTGGTTTCACGAGGCACTGCCTTTTCTGCTGGTAAAACTTGATCCACATAACTACTGCAACTTTAGAGCCAAAGTAACAAAAAACCCTAATTTTTATTCAAAACAGACATACGAGAGAGGAAAAGAAGCAAAGACACTCGAGCATTGACAATGATGTTGAGAAAATCAGTGCCCCACCATCTCAAAGGTTTCCTACTATTACTGTAAACATTAATGTGGCAGCAGAACATCTATCACCAGAAAGTCCCCAAATTCCCCAGCTGCTTGTTGATTCAGCCCCGCTGGCACGACACAGCAATCCACGGTTACACATTAAACCTGTCTCCCATGTAATGGGTCTGACATTGGCCTTTATGGATGCACAGACTGAAAGATATAGGCACCACAGCCAGACCATGAGGAACAATTCATGTCTTTGCTCCTTCCTGCCTTAATCATCCTTCTGTCCTTGAGAAAAATAATTTTATTTCACTCTCTCCATATCTCAGTTGGAAGTACTTCTGGAAAACCCCACATGACTTTTTCAACTGACATTGCTGAGTAGAAAGAAATCATTAGTCCCTGCTTGAAAACCACTAAAGTAGAATATAGAAATTATTATAATATCTTTTAACTGAAGGGCCAGTCCACAGTAACAATGTTTAAATAAAAATATTTTCAAGAAGGGGAGGAAATAAACATTATTGGGATACTGTTCAAGAAACAAACAAACCAACTGTAGCATCATCAGATGCAGCCGAAATGATAAACCCTTTCTGAATTTTTTTTCATTAACTTTTTGTTGGTGGTAACATGAAATCCATGATCTGTTACTGAATCCCATTTTGTGCACAAGGAACCTGCCACCTATACTGCAGCAGTAGACAAGAGAACTTGAACGTATAAATAAAAAAGCCTTTTTTGAAGCAATTTTTCAAATTAAGGACAAAGCCAGACTTAGCCCAGTAAGAGTTTTCTGTGGCTGCAGAACTCAGTGAATCCTTGACTCCCTGACATGTTTTTGAAAACAGCTGTTTTCTACTTTAGATTATAGTTATCTGAAAATTAGCTTTATATATCTGATAATTTGTACGGAATGAGTCTGCCATGAAGAATACAGAGTAAGCTCAAAAGGCACAGGTAAAAGAGCTCATTACAGGGAAATTTCAACAACCTTATTTGTTCAAAAGAAGCTGGGAGAAAAAAATCCCTTGGTCTATAATGCACTCTAAAGCCCTTTAATACAACACAGATGAACCTTACTGAATAATCTTATCTGCCTTAATAAAAATACACTGTAAACAAATGATTGCAACATTCATTTGCTGGATGTTTTTCCATCTTTGTCACGAGCTTAGCTCATGAGAACATTTTCTCTAGAAACAAAATTATCTTTTGATCCTTTCTTGCTACTACTCTTTTAAGAAAACACTAAAACAGTTAACCTGCTTTAATTTTTATTCTTTAAGCAGCCTTTATTGTTACTTTAGGATGGAATTTTATCTGTGAAGGAAAATGTTAAATGCTTGTATCATTCTGCCCTTAACACCTTCACTGCTGTGAAGTGTATCAAACACTGCAATCAGAAGTGGTTTGCACTTTCAACCAAAGAGAGTAATTTGCAATACATGAGGCACCAGCTACATCCTAATACAACAATCAAACAGATAAGAGAAAGTTATGATGGTAAAAGACTTGAACGGCTATACTGGAGCTGTATTGTGAGAAAAAAATCCTAATTTTAAATTAAAATTTATTTCCTTCTTCCTTTTGTATCAGTTGTTCTAATAGACTAAGCAGGAGAAAAGTGTTTTCCAAATCCATGCAAGAAGTAATACTCATAAAGAACTTTAATAAGCAAAACCAGACCAAGGTTGATCAAGCAGCTGATACTAACTGAGCTATAAAAAACTTGCAATTGTTCTTACTGTTCTGGAAGCATACTGTAAGAGCTGCTTATCAGACCTTTGCAGAATACTATTTGCTTATTTTCAGTGGTTTGTTGCAAAATTTGTCTGAGCTTTCAAACTAGTGTTATTGTTCAGGAAATTGTCAGGTGCTTCTAATACCACACTGCCACTTCACAGGAAACAGAGAAGTCACTGTGAAGGAAAAACACATTTGAATGGTACAGGAAGTTAATATTCTCTGCATTTCATTACTGAAAAACAAGCACCTTAAGAACTACTACAACTAATGCAACAGCATTCAAAAGGAAAAGAAGCACATGGTGCAGTCGGCAAATTGGCAATAGCAACATGCAACTTGTTGAAGGTTCAAATTCAGAAAAAAGCCTCAACAAAGAAATTTATAAAATTGGGTCACTCAAAGCTTTTTGGTCACTGTCCTGGTTTTACCTGGGAAACTGCTGAAACTTTCAGTTTCTGTACAAGCCACAAGAAAATCAGATTTGTCTCACTGCTGAAAGTTTCGTGAGGGGAAGGAAGATGCAAAAAGATGTAATAAAAAAACTAGCTGACAACTTGCAATCCACTATTATGACACACAAGTTGGTAAACAAAAAAGGCTCTGAAAAGAACTCCTCAAAAGAAAACAAAGAGGAACAATCAGCAGGACAATGGCACCATCAAATATTAAGGGTTCCTACCTGTTCGTAGTGGTAAGTCTGCAGTGATGTAATTGGTACTGTTAAATAAAGCATTCATTCCCATGAACTGATCCACTGCAAACATCTATATTGAAAGAAAATACTCTTCATTATTACATATATACACAGTTGTATAAAACATCTCTCAGCAAAGCACTTTAAAGTTCTTTGCAAATATTGAGACTGCAAATACCTTGCTGAATTACACAAACATTTTATAGCAATTTTAGTTTTGCTGGCAACAGCACTGCAAGCAGAGCTGACAGCACTGACCCAAGTTTCACCAGAATCACGAGACCACACCAACCTAAGCACCCATTTTGCTTACCTGCACTAACAACAATAAATCCTAAAGAGATTATGCAGTAAATTCTGAAAATTTTGCCCAAGGCCTTGCTAAGAACCTGTGAGTTTTCATTTCCATTTCTCTGATTAAACCCCACCAGACAACATTCATTATGTAAATATACTGACAAGCTCTAATGCAAGTGTGTTTGTTTGTTTGTTTTTTTTTTTAAACTCTGATATGTCTTAACTTACTGTAATTGTTGCCAGGTATAAATCTATCTTTTTCCAAAGTGAAGCAAGCATAAAGGAGAAAACAGTTGCTTTTTGAAAATTAAGTTGAATAGAAATGACCTGTTCTTCACTTAAACTTTTCACCCACACACCTTTCTCACAGTTCAAGTAATTTATGGAATGATCTAAGAAGACCAGGAAGAGCTCCTGAAGAGCTAGGCCTGTGGATCTCTGTGAGTGAAGGAACATTTTAGTGATCACTATCAATGCCAACATCACAAAAATTTACACAAAAGGACCTTTTAGGACATAAGGGGTTTTATTTTCAGAAACACTCTAATGTCTACCACAGAAGAAATTCCAGAGCAAGTGTCACAGGCATGTAGGGCATAAAAATAAGGGGTTTTTTTCACTTGCTCAGTTCAGCAGGCCTAGATTTCCTTCCCATTTCAGCCATTTTAACTAGTGAAGGCACTTTACGGGTCACATAAAAACCAGCTTAGGGAAAAAAGCCCTGATTTCTGCCAATGCAGAATGATTTTCCATGTCCACATGAAGTCTAGGAAATGACAAGACAATAGGAGAGAAGGCCTAAACAGATAGCTAGGAGAGGATACAGGGATACTGAAAACACAGAAGTTCACTTACTTGGGGATCATTTACTCCCATAATATAGGAATCTTCTGCTGCCATTTTAAGTCCTGAAACACAAAAACATGATTAGAACTCCCCTTTTTTTTCCCAATGTAGAGCAATAGAGAAGCCTGGAAAGCATTCAGAGTTAAAAGCCCAATCTCTGACACTTTTTATTTTACTCATAAAATTAATGATTTCTAAAATACTTCTAAAATTCCTCATTATTTGGAAGAGGCAATGTAAGGACAAGACAAGCTACAACTAGGATTTTCCATGCCTATTGCCAAGAAATTAAAAATTACAGTCAACGTCCAGAAGTCAAAATTTCTTAATATCAGGAACTGATTCTGTCATTGCTCTGACTATTCTGCCATTAGACTTTAGGCAACATCATTACCATAGAAATAGCAGAACTCTTCATTTGTACACAATAAAATTAACATTATGAGCATTCATGAATGAACTCTAACGCTTTTCTTATGAAATATTACTTAACGCAAATAAAGATGCCCAAGAAAAAACAGATAGTATTAAAAAAAATTAAATAAAACCAGGATTCTATTATTGACTAATTTTGGACACCTTTATTTCCAGGGTTCCACAAGTGCTTAGCACACACAACAACTCTGTGCTGACAATGACAATGCACAGCATCCATCACAACTCTTTCTCGCAGGTCTACATGTGAATTCTGGACACTGGAAAAGTTTAGCTTGGTTAGTTTTACTGGGACCAGTAGTAGGTCAGTAGCAGAACCTGTGAATTTTCTGAGGAATTTATTAGGTCTGTTGGAAGATATTAGTATTAGTGTTACTTCCTTTCATGTAGATGTTACTAAAAGAATTTACAATTTCACCTATGCTGAGCTCACTAAATAAGGCTCTCCAAGGGAGTATCTGAAAATAAGAGTGGGGCTATTTCAAGAGAGTCATGTCTGCATTCAACAGGCACTAAATAAGGTTAATAACTAACAGAAGACAGAAACAGGTCACTGGCCCTCATATTCCACCACAGTGAACACGAGCCATGTTTTCCAGCAAAGAGAACTGTGAAAACTACTGCACTACCAAAGAGAGGTGCAAGAGATCAGTAAGTCATCAAAGAAAAACTGAGTCACCATGTACCTCCTACAGGAACTAGAAAGGCAATTATCAAAAGGAAAATTGGAATACTTGGGTACTTCACCTTGATGGAGGCTCAACTCTGCTTGTTAACTATCTCCAAAGACAAGTCACCCCACAAAGTAGAAAATGTAAATAAAAATAAAATGGAGAAATAGGAGACACTTAATGCACAGATGACTTCAATGAAAAAGATGTTTATGTGGGTACAACTGCTTTTCAGACTAGAAAATAAAGTACCCACCTGACTGTAAATCGATTTTAGAAATATTTACAGGGCAATATTTATTCATAGTTTTTCTTCAAATATCAAATAACTGATCATAAGATTTCAGTCAAAAATTAATAACAGATATAACAAGCAGCCAATGTCACCCATGCTGTACTTCATCATCCAATACAACAAGATTTCAGCAAGATAAAAGAACACCAGTCAATCACATTAGCTCATAGGCACATTCCACAAAGCATTATTTTCATCAACCTTTCGCCATTGTTATTATTCAACTTTATGGAAAAAGTCAACATACAAAGTGTGATAAAACCTTCAGGATACAACGAAATTTACTAAGATGTTTTTATTTGCCTTCTCTTCCATAGAAAAATAAAAATAATATTATCACCAACTGACAAGTTACTTAAATCACTGAAATAACTTGTAAGATATTTTGTCAAACACTTCTTACTGAAAGGTGTAGCTATTACAGAAAACAATCTGAAGACCTCAATAGCCAGCTTTTTCTTACAAAGTGTCAGAAAATACCCACCCTCTTGTTACACCCTGATTAGGTAACTGAGTGCAAATGCCAAATTTCTTTGGCATAAATAGAATAAAAATTAGTCCTAAAAATCTTGGTTTGTGATGTCCAATATTTAAATACTTAAAATTTCATTAGTCACATATGCAAAATTGTGTTCCAAAATCTTGAAGGTACCAGATGACATGGTAAACATGCTTGTTCAGAAAAATAAAATATTCTGAGGAGTTAACATGAATGGCATCTGCCCACTTGCCTGTTTGCTATATACATATATATATATACACACACATATATATACATACATACATATACTTTGCCAAACTTTCAAACAAAGCATCTCACAGCTTCTTCTGCAAGCCACAGGATAAATATAATAGTAGGCTCTATTTTCTTTGCCCTATTCTAGCTCCTCAGGCTGCGCCTCTCTCCCTCCTGCAGAACTCTGGGGGCAGTGTCCTCACACCTGCCACACTTCTGGTCACACCTACACTTCTACAATACGTGACTTTCCAAAAGTGGAAAAACAGCGCAGAGGCATTACTTCTGAAAACTTTTCACTTAAAGTATTTTGATGTAAAAATTAGAACTTATTTAGGAAAAAAAAAAACCCTACATCCATCTGAATCAGCCCTTCAGTTTCACCTTTTAAAAACAGTAATTTCTGGCTTTTTGGCTGATGCAGTGAACATAGTGACACCAAAACAATGGCCTTTAAAGATGTTCCCCCTGCAGCACTATGTTCAGCTCTGGGCTCTTCAGCACCAGGAAAACAGGGACCTGCTGGAGTAAGTCTGGCCATGAAGATGCTCAGAGTGCTGGAGCACCTCTCCTGCAGACAGGCTGGGAGAGCTGGGGCTGCTCAGCCTGGAGAAGAAAAGGCTTCAGGGAAACCTTAAAGCACCTTCCAGTACCTGAGGAGGGCCTCCAGGAAAGCTGGAGAGGGACTTTTCACAAGGACAGGATGAGGGGGAATGATTTTAAACTGACAGAGCGTGGGATTAGATTGGATATAAGGAAGAAATCCTCCACTGTGAGGGTGGCAAGGCACCAGAACGGGTTGCCCAGAGAAGCTGTGGCTGCCCTATGCCAGGAAGTGTCAGGTTGGATGGGGCTTGGAGCACTTTGGAAAATTTATGGTAGCAGAAGGTGTCTCCACCCAGGGAATTTGGGGGGGTTGGGACTAGATGATCTTTGAGGTCCCTTCCAACCCAAACTATTTCATTATTCCATGAACATGACCCTTGGAAGCAGCAAGGTAAGCACTGACATAGCACCCAGTCAGCTGTAGGTAGGTAGGTACTAATGAATGCCTAACCAGGTACTAAACACAACCTCTCTCAAATCATAAGTGCAGATGCCTCTTAACTTGAGATCTTTCATGTTCAGATCAGCTCCACTGCTTGAGGGAGGGGTTACAGACATTTCTCTGGCCTGAATGTTAAGCCAGTTTATTATGAACAGATTATAATTTAGATGTGCAAACATACACCTTTGTGTATGTAAACTCACACTTAATTGCCTTATCAGGGCCTAGACAAAGATTAACCCAGCTGTTTAAAATAACCCCTCCACATGACTGAAAACACTATGAAACACTGAAAACCTTCTAAATGACTGTTTCACTATGTTTTGTCCTCTCCAAAGCCAAACAGATCACAAAAGTGTTCTGGGAGCCCTACCCTCAAATAACCACTTGTGTCCTTAGGATTTATTAAGTTCACAAATCCGTACACTTCCTCTTACATTAAAATTGATGCAAATCCACAAGGTCACATGATCAAAACCCCAAAAAGACACAGAAAAATAGATCCTAGCACTACCTCTGTGACCTCTAATTGGCCTCTTCCCTTACTGCTCCAGTTTCTAAGCACCTTTCCCATTTGCATCAGGTGGTAAGATTAGCATCTACCTCAAGCAGCTTTGCTCATTCTCTCATTACATGAGCTGTATTATGGGTCAGAGATTGCCACCTCCCTCATTTGAAGATGGCTGGAATAAAATTGCTCTGTGGAAGTTCATGTTATTATAGATGCCTGCTTCCTGCATATTCCTCCAATTCCTACAAATTGTACTGCAAACTAGAATCTACAATAAAAAAATACCCCAACACCTGCAGACCACAATTAACCACAGCAGTCTCCACCCTGGAGACCGTCTAAAGTTTTTCAGATAATGGGGCACAGGAAGCTAGACATTTCAATTCACAGTATTTATAAGTGTGAAAATTCAAAGGCCAGTGAAGAAACTTCATTTAGCTCCTAGTGCAACAGAAAAACATAAAATCCAGCTAAACTTGCCCAAACCCACACAATTACACCTTCTGAGCATAAGTGTGGGATGTGTGTGCATGTGCATACATATTCCTTTCCCTTCACAGCAGGTCAATTGCCATTGTGAAAACGGTTTAAATAGAAAGAAAAAGAGAAAAAACCTAGGAAGTCATGTATACACATACAGGAGATGACTGTTGCACCAAACAACCAAGCAAACCTAATGGCAGGTACTTTGCACCACTGCTCCTCCTTAATAACCAAATGATACAAGGTACAAGTGGCACAGCTGGAAGAACATGATTTATTGTATTCTAAGTATTTGTTCTAAAGTTTCAAAAGAAGCAGCCATTTAAAATGAAAACAACATAATTAATGTAGGAATGCTGTAATCCACGAACAAGAACTCTTATTTCTCTTATCTCAATCATTTGATTTCAGAGCGCTTCCCTGTTATTCTCCCACATTCACTGTGTCTGTTTACCTTTTAAAAAGCAAATTTCACTATCCAACTGTTTTCAGCCCCCCTGATTTTTCGAGGGTCCAGATCCTTCCCTTTACTTCTCTTCAACTTTCAGCCTGAAGTTTAAGCATGAGGTGAACCCTCGTTCTTTTTGACACCAGTATCCAATCCAATCCCTAAAAACTTGGAATGTGACTTCTCCCTTTCTACAGACAAACATGATCTTTATCACCCAGTTCATTGCACTTGAGAACTGAAATTAGTGTGATGGATGTTGTTCCACAAGGAAATTTATTTAAACCATCTCTTAGTCCATTACATGTTTTACATCATCCTGTTCTCACCTTTCAAGGCTGGGATTCAGAATGCAAGCCTCACAATAGGAAACTCAACTACTACACCTCAACCAACTTGATAAACTGAAAGAACAATTTTTCCTGAAAGTTTTCT